ATGTAATGTCTTATAGGCTCAGTCAGGAAGTTCTGGTATGATTTGAGATGATGGTTTTAGATACGAATGGATCATTATCTTATTCCTCACTTCTCATGAATTATGCTCAATATTTATATTCCAGTTTTAAAGATGCTTTTTGCTGGGCTTTTTCATTTAAAGAACCATTAAAAGCACCTAGACCACATCATCTCAATGAAGTGGTCTAGGTGCAGTGGCCCTTTCGTTTTAACCTTGCTGTCTAGTACATATGGCAATGTTATGATTGCAGGGTTTACACAACTCTAGTGTCTATTAATGGCAGCCACTAGGGCACTTAGGCTTTTTTCAGCCGAGTGAAACTCTGTCATGTGATCAAATGACTGTGCTAGAGGCAGTCTGATTGGTTTGGTACTGCATTTTGTCTCACATGCGGCAAACATTGGATTGACGGAGATCATAAATCATGATCTCAGCAAAGCAGGTGGAGTGGCCGGGCAGAGACAAACTCTCATAAGTATATAGGTATATGTCAACCATAGCCTTAGGAATACATGAACTATTCCATTTAATGTAATTTTTGCTATGTCTTAAACATCATTTAAAATTTTTTTTTTTTTTTTTTTTTTTATAAATTCATTTATATTATATTGTAAATTGTACATTCAATGTTTAACTATCCAGCTGTTGTCAAGCTGCAACTATCCTGGCTTTATGCAAGTCTTAATCCGTGATGGCTGAGAACCATTTTACCAGTTGAGGAAAACAAAAAAATCAAATAAGTGGCACCAACAATAATGAACATGGGTGCAGATTCCTAGGCTCCTTCAGATCCTTAAAGGAATACTCCAAGTGCCAAAATAACAACATTTTAATATAGTGATTTTGGTGCGAGGACGCTTTCCCTGCAGTCTGGCAAATCTTAACATTGCTGTTTCTTAGAAAAGGCAATTTCTAGCGTTGCCAGTTGGAATGCCTCTAGTGGCTGTTGGATAGGATCTTTCTAGCTTTCAGTAATTAAAAGGACACTATAGACTAAAGTGGTCTGGGTCCCTTAACCCTGCAATAACTTTTGCAGTTATTGAGAAATGGCAATAATTGCTATCCAGGGTGAACTCCACCTGTAGTGGCTGTCTACCAGACAGCCGTTCAAGGGACTTCCGGGTTGTTGGGCAACCTTTGGTGGCCTAACTGACGCTGGACGTCCTCACGCTATACTTTCCTATGGGGGAATACCTAAATTGGAAAAGATTTTTTTAGTAAGGCACTTAGTTAAGGTATAAGCAGACTTATAGCCTTCCATGGCCGGTGTGTGGATTTTTAGTATGCTGGTGCAGGAGGTCGGGGTCATGCGCGGTGCAATCAGAGGTCAGCTGTTTTAGCGCAATGGTACTGCTTGTGGACTCTGTGCTGTGGGGGAGGGGGAACCTGGTTACTCTAACTTAGAGCTACAGCTGAGGCCTACGGAGTCAACAACAGAACAACATTGTATACAATCACGATCAGCAGTAAAGAAAAGTTAAAAAAAAAAAATTTAACATTTTTAAGGTGCAAGGTAGTTTTAGCCCCAGAGTTCAGGGTGGCAGTTCAGCCGCCGTGGGGGCTCCCCTTCTGGGCACAAACTGGGTAATGTCTGCTACATTCTAGGCTGAATGGTCTGCTGACGGCATCTTTACCCCTGGCAGGCCGAGATATTGCAGGAAGATGAGTGCTTCAGCAAATTGTGATATGGCGTGCGTCTTGCCTCCTTTGTTGGCAAGTAGTCGGCGGGGGCCCCATTTGTAGGCGATAGAAGCTGGGTAACTGGCTTGAGAGCTCTCCGCCATGACAAAGTATGCTTGGAGAAGTCCCGAAAAAATGGTAGCTGTTCCCCCTCAAAGGAAACTGTGGGAGTGCCCCTGACTGCCCCCATAATAACTCCATGGTCAGAGTCCCGCACCAGTTTCAGTAGGACATCCCTGGGTACTTCTTGGGCTGCATTGAGTCAGAAGCAAGAATCCATCACCAGCTGTTTGGGCATGAGGAGAGTGGCAAGGAGCCTCCTGCAGTAATGAGGGAGTTCTGCTCCTGAGACCTTTTCCGGGACTCCCCTTATCTTCAAGTTTACAACACAGAGGAAACTGACTGACAGACACACTCGTAGACAGACATACTCTCACAGATTTGACACATGCACGTTCTCTCACAAACAAATTATTATAATTAACTTGCTTTATTTAAGTCCACCATCATGCGCTGTTTAGTGATGCGAGTGACATCATAAGCGGCACCGCAGAGCGTGTGATGAAGCAGTGCTGGAAGATTATGAAGATTACAGATGCCTCCATCTCTATTCTCCCCCACGGACACTGTATTTGGGCATAGTAGGCACCTGCCGTCCAGCTAAGCAGGTGTCTACTCTGCCTTAAAGCACAGCCGGCCACCTCCGGGGTGCACTAAGGTGGCCAGCCGGTATCCGAACCACCGGCTGAGAAACAAGCCTGTATAGTACTCTGTATAGTAAGAAGACAAATGATTGGCAAGCTCAGGTAATCCTGTAACCAGTGTAGAATGTAAGAGCGTTGACCCCCAGACACTGTGACTTGGATAAACTGTACCTATATTGGAATGAGGAATAAATGGGCCATTGGATGTCTGGCAGAGGGGGATTCAAAATTTCTGTCTGCACTACCTCCAAGAAGGAAAAAGCTGAAGAAAACCTTTTTTATAGGAATTTTTAATAAATGTCACAGAGCCTGTCTTAGTTTGTGTAAATACATACAAACCATTATATTGTAAATGCTTTCACTGAGCCAAATGTCTAGCAGGTGGCTGGAGATATGAAGGCTTTGGATCCAGCCCAAAAATCTTTGAATGTCTGTCTCTGATTCGATACGATTTTTCCCAGCTATATATAAACCAGACCGTGACCTGAGACTCTGCAAACTGCATCTCCCATGATACTCGGGGAGTCTGTCAAAACGAGAAATACATTTTCTCTCTAGTGTAGATCCCCCAGTGCACTGTATTGAAGTGGTTATAGTGTCTGGCATCCTATGGCGCTGTTCTTCCATTCAGCGTTAAACCATTTTGAATGTTTTAATGGTTAAAAATGGTGGAGGGGCAATTCCAGGGGATTCTATTTAATATAACCAGGTTAATGAGATGAGTGCCCCTTTAAGGTTGTAAAAGCATCATGGGATTTGTAGTGCTGCAATGATTCTCCAATTGTGAGTTCATAATTGTTGTTAAAAAGTCACTATGTAACCAGCACTGCATGAGAAATGTAAACTATTCTGAATAACGCATTTGTTTTCTCTGGTTAAGTTCAGCTTATATAAACAATTGAATGTCAACACAAAATAGAGCACTTGACAGACCGGGCTTTGTAAAGAGAGGCCGTCCATAGTTAAATTTTTTTTACTATATTTATTTTTTAATATTGTTTATTTTAGACCTTTTCCAAGTAGGAAACATACACACGTCATGATCATAGTACATTTGACATACACATTCCCATCATATCTCACAACGTTTGCATAGTGTGGGGGCAGAGTTGAGGTTTATATGCGTGTTGTAATACTAAAATACTTAACCAAAATTTGACTCTTTTCTTTCCCCAGGTCTTCTAACGTTTGTAAATTGCTCCTATGTGAAATGGGGAACACGGGTCCAAGATCTCTTTACTTATGCCAAAGTTATTGCACTAATCGCCATTATTATTACGGGCATTGTTAAACTATGCCAAGGTGAGTTTTTTTGGCATTATCATTATTTTTAATTATAATTTTAACTGTACTGTTGTCTTTACATGTGCTACTGAAACAAGCGCTTTGGTAATGTTAAGGGACCGTACTAAACTTTTCACAAGATTAATATGATGAATGGAAATTAAGTTAAATAAAAAAAATCTGAAAATTATGACTTGAGTAATTTCGTATAATTTTTATACTCCTGCTAAGGGAATGTAGTTGTAGTGGACAATACTTTTTTCTTAGATTGGGCATATATTAAATTTTTCAGACATGCAAACAGATATGTGATATGGCAATTTAAAATGAAGAATGAAAATATATATATATATTTTTTTTTTTTTAAGTACTTTTCTGTATGATAGCTGCAGCTGAAATCACCTTTTCCTCTAATATTTTATGCATTCTATGGATCTTTTTTCCCCAGGGCATACGCAGAATTTCGAAGACTCCTTTGCCGGTTCCTCTTGGGATGCTGGGGACATTTCTCTAGCCCTGTACTCTGCACTTTTCTCATACTCCGGCTGGGACACTCTTAATTTTGTTACAGAAGAAATCAAAAACCCTGAAAGGTAATTGGTGGCCACGTGCAGCTGTGAATGTGTCCCCTGAGGTTTTGGGCAAAGCACAGCTGCGTGAAAATCACAACAGTCATAACAAACCGAGAAAGATCCATCACTGGGAATAAAGAGGTTTTTGCCAGAAGGAGTTTCTGATATTAACTCATTGTAGCAGTGTGTCAGGGAAATCAAGGAGATCTTTCTCTCCAGGCTGGGTTCTTCAAATTAATGTGAAAATATTTCTGGTGAATATATGCTTCTAACAGTACATTTAGATTGCATGCAAAATCTATGGAATTGTCGTACAGATAAACATGATTATGATGATGACAATAACATGGGGATCAGGAAAGAGGTGAGATTTTGGTTTGAATTGTCAACTCCAGCAATTCCCAATTGCTTTAGTGCATTTTCTTGATGCAAAATCAAAACTTCTTTTCCAATATCCTCCTTTTGTAGAAAATCCCTGTGTCCAGAAAGTGACCAGTCTCAGCAAGTCACTTGTCTGCCATTGCTTTCAGTGTGTGAATTACTGAGAGTTTGAATTTGTATGATGAAGGTGGGGGAGGCGGGAGGGACACTTGGCCAAGTGGATTGAAGCTGCCACTGTCGGTCTCCCATTAATGTGTGTTTTTTTTTATTTTAAAACAAACCAGATGCTTCATTCCCTTGCCTACGAGAAAAAAACTTTTTACTGGAAAGCTACAGATGGCATCTTTCACAGGTCTGCCACACTCAGTAATGCACTTGCAGCTGTCGTACAGGCTGTTGGAGATGTTCTCTTCATGCATTAAAACTCTCTGCATTGACAGAAACATTGCTCCAACTCTTGAGGATTCAGAGAACTTGTTGCTGCAGTGGATGATGGCAGACTGGCAAAGCAGAGACTGTGGAAGATGGCATTGTCACCCTAAAGGGGAACTGTTAGCTATGTAATCATCCAACTTGTGTCCTGGTTCTATCCCTGGTTTAATGTCAACCATTTCAGAAGGACACTAAACATGGACGCTTTTGATAGGCCTTCTTCTCGGCCACATTGATCTGGAATTTCCATATCTACATTATCAAGTCATGCTTTATCCAACGTGACATTGATCAACCAATTCCCCCTCCCTTCCCCATCTTCTCAGCAGTTCATTGTCGTCAAGGCTCTAAATAAACGGTTTATAATGCAGAAGACAATTCCTCGTTTTCTGTGTAGCGGAGGAGGGGACGTTCTCTAGGTGCTATGAAGAACCCCGGTTCGTGTCAAACCATTTCCAAGCGGTTTAACCGTAAACCGGGGGACAGCAAGCACCTGGACACTACATCAAAACTATGGTGGCTATATTGTGAAATCTCCCTTTAGCACTGATATCCTAGTGTTTCGGATCTACGTTTCATAGAGTTGTAAAAAAAAAATGGAGACTACTAAATCCACAATCCTTCCTAATGACAACTGCTCGCTTTATATAATCCCAAACTCGTCTCACATTTCATAGTCTAGTAAATCAGCTGGAGCTGTTAACAAACCTATTATTGACTTTAAATGTCTTATTGCTATTCCTGAGGTGATTTTCCTTTCAGTATTTTAGCACATCTTACATTTTCCTCTTCCCTTTGCCTCTTTCTGTTTAGTCATCACTTCCTGTTTTTCATTTTCTCATGCTCTAAACCCACTTATCTATCGGTCTTAAATAATTGTGGGACTCGAGAGTGACACTTTCTCTTTGTCTTCGGAACTGCTGTTAAGGGGAAGTGTAGTAATTATGTTTTTGGAAGCTTTAACATGAAAACACTATCTGATGTGCTGTTGTGAAAAAAACACATGGTACTTGTTTTGTCTCGTAGTGTTCTAATATCGAAAAGTGAGATTTATGACCGGGAGAATTTATTAGGGAAACGTACGATCCTTTCACTGTGGCTCCTGGCCTGAGGAACATTTATGTGTTCTATGTTGACTTGTAAATTAAGGTCCACAGGGTATCAAGAAGACACTTTCCAGAATCTGTTTCGAAACACGTTTAAATTCAATTCACGACGACCATGCCCCTTACATCCGAAGGGCGAACAAGCATTTTTAGACACCTCTCTCAATTCTCACATATTTTTACTTACAGGATTTATACTGAAACCGCTCTGGACGTGTCTACCATTGTAAACTAGTTTTTGGAGTTGGGATGATGGTTTGGGGCTAACTCCCTGCAATCAAACACTGAGCTGGTTTTGGTCATCGTTCAAATAATTGGTTGAAGAACAGATCAGCATATATAGTTTACATGTGGGTGTTTGGTGATTTTGTAGAGGAGAAACTCATTAGCACTCTGGATTTTAAAAACCCTCTGGAGAATTTACAGGGATGAATTATTAAGTGGGCTTTGGCCAGGGTAATGGTTGTATGAAGGCGATTGGAGTAATTTTATTAGGTAGAATTCTCGTAGGAATAGAACAGTTCATACAGTGGACATCTATGCTATTTTCTTTTTTCCTCTGGTCATGGGGAATGTTCTGAGACTCTGATGTTTTAAGATGGTCCATGTTGGATTATTTGATTTATTCTCTGTGTGTTTTGGTTTCAGGAACTTGCCTCTATCCATTGCGATTTCTATGCCAATTGTGACCATCATATATATCTTGACCAATGTGGCTTACTACACTCTGCTGGACTTCAATGCTATTGTTAGCAGTGATGCAGTGGCTGTGGTAAGTACGTCAGATACTGCACCAACATGTCCTAGGGTACAATGTTCTAATATGCTTTTTATAGGTTTCTTTTACTATGTTCATTAATCTAGTCAACTAGTCGGTCATGGGTCGGGTCCTGGTGTTATGCACCTTTTCCTAATTCTCTCTGGCAAAGAAACTTACTATTTTTTTTAAAAAAAAATTTTGTGCCATTTGCTCATTCCCATTATTGGCTATATAGAACTAGAATATTGAAATTTTGGGCAGTTTGTATTGGAGTAAAGAATTTGATAGCATGTTTCCGATACTTTTGCTGTGTTTTAGATTATCTTTATATTAAAAATACATTAAGCTGAATCTGGTCCTCAATATTTGCATCATAATTCATGTAAGCAGCCATGTGCGCCACTTTAAACTAAAGAAGTGTGTATTTTTATAATTCTCCAAAGACCAGCCACTACACAAACATCTTTAAGAAGTAGATTTTAAAATGTGGTTTTGGGTCAGGAAATTCTCAGTGATGAAGGCAAAAAGTATACTTAATCATTTTACAGGCATCAAAATTAATAAGCCCATTAAAAAAATAGACAAATTAATGCATTATGATTGTGAACATTTTATCCTGTAATTAAAAGCTCGAAAGGAACGTGAGCCTCTTTCTAGACCTTGTTGAAGAGAAGATCAAAGTTATGTATTTAGTTTTTCTTCATTTACTGGAACATTATAATCAATTCTGGTTTCTATTATTTATATTTGGGTTTTTGGGTTTTCATCTGTCTTGCTTTTTCATTTTCACTGTTGTGCACCATTTAATTTTGTTTCCACCCGAATGTTTATATGCAAACCCTTTTTCATTTTCTGTTGGATTTTAAATGCCATGTTTGCTGATATCTCCACCATTCTTCCTTCTCCAGACGTTTGCAGATACGGTTTATGGAATATTTAGCTGGACAATCCCGCTGGCTGTGGCTCTGTCCTGTTTCGGTGGCCTCAACTCCTCCATCCTTGCTGCTTCAAGGTATAACCCCACAATAAAAAGACCGGTACCTGTGGTTAGGAACTGTTCATTTGTTGGAGTCCAAACTCGACAAATTGTTGCTGGAATGTCTTAAAGATTACAAGAAACCAGTTTATTAAAATTAAACTGGTGTCAGTAAATGGTGTCTTATAGACTGCCACATTCTTCCAATTCTTTACATTTTGCAGTTTTGTTTGTAGATGTCACAATTTGCCGCAAGGCCTAGGGTTATTGAATTCCAAGAATCAATTCAACTAGTGAGTCATTCTGCCCACAAGCATAAGTAATTATTACTTGGTATTACTGGGTTCAGTGCTGAACCCATACTGATCTACATCTGTGCTGAATAGCGTGGCTGTCTGGGTGATATGGGATGGACAGATAAGATTTTCCGGGGCAAATCGTGCCATTTAAAGTCATTGTAATGGCTAAAACAAACAAACCATGTGTTTTCATAAGCCAAAAATTAATGTAGGAAGTACTTCATCCACAGGTAGTCACTCAATCGGGATGTCTACAACAAGTTTTAATTCACTTGTACCATTACAAAGCTAACTTTTCATATTGGCATATCTGATTGGTTGGAGCAACATGAGTGGTCCATAATTAAAAAAACAACACCGTAATTACAGTTCGTTTTGGTCTTTCATTGGGCTCTGTCATGAAATATGGCGAGTACCCCTATAAGCACATAGAGCATCGGTACTTGTTTATCTGTATTTTACTGTCATTAAGGAGATAAAGCATTAATGTAAAGCCGATGCTTCTACCTTTTCTATTTTTATTTATAATGAGCTGCCTATACATTACATTAGAATTTCATTACAAGTCATGTGCACTCAGAATATACATACTACAAAGCAGGAACTACTTGGCAAAAATAGACTATTCCCAGACGCTTGATTTTGTCATTTACAAACATGTTTTACTCTCAAACACTAAAGGGGAAAAAGTATCTTCATGCTCAAATTCCAGTATTTATGGTCTCCTGGGGGATCATAGAGGGTTTATTTTTTAAATTGCTATACAGGATGTTCAGACACACCTTTTTAACCCTTTAGGATCCCTGGTTCCTGAGATTTACCAAACCCTCAGTCACATTAAAGCATGTCATTTTACTGAGAATTATCTAATAAGTGGCTAATTAACGATGACCATATGTATAGCATGTTCTCTCATAAGCAGATTAGAATCTGTAATATGGGGCCTGTGAGTCAAATGCTTTTATTCTCTGGCTTCATTTGCTATTTATATACATTCAGCCTGCATTTTCTGTAAATGCAGTTGATTCGTGTGATGCTCAGATCACACGTGAAATGGGTGAAAAAGTCCAATATTGCTTATGCATTGTTTACCTTTTTTATTTTTTACAAATATTGACTTGTTACAGATATATTGAGGAAAATACAATATTAGTTAGTAGATGGCATCCCAGATATGGCCATTTGCTATCATAAGTCTTTTTACACACTCATTCACACCTCTCAGACTAGTGCACTCAACTCTCCAATGCTCCCACAATGAGCCATGTTTCCGATTTTTGTCTTGCGTGTCCTGTCTCTATCCGTCTTTACTCTTGCTTCCTGTATGATTTCAAACTTGGCTTTAAATTCTTTTTCTCCTGTACGTGTAAACACTACTTGGTAGTTGCAAAACATTTGAACTTGTAAATAACCTTAAACTGTCCTCCGATCTCCATTTCCACATCTTGCGTATATTATAACACATCCTTTTTGCCCTTTTAAATGGTGCCTAATTTCCTAAACTATTGAAACAGCTGGTTGTAAGAAGCATGTCAACCAGGTGGTTTATAGCACTCCCTGCGGCACTGTCCTCCTGTTGGACTCCCTGCTAAACATTTTTGCTGTGAAAGCATAGGTCATATAATCTGTAGAAGCAATGCATGCAGTTTATATGCACATGGCAAGCTATCTTCCCCTTTGGATACTTTGCTCTTTAACACGGCCATTAAGCAGCATGCTCTTAAATGTATCTGTAGTGAATTGCTGACATTGTTTAGCCACTGTAGCCACAGCACATCTTTATCTGTATAGCTCAGTTCATGAAGACCAGAACTTAACTTGGGCGCCAGTTCCATTGACGTTTTTCTTCTGATGAATGAACGCAATGACTGCCAAGTGCTTGAATTCTGTATCCCATTAACCCCTGCTGAGCATGGCTCAGTACTTACATTAAAACTAGGATGGCTTACGAGATGTCTGGGTTGAGCTTACGTTTTACAGTTACAAGATTTTCTACTAACACAGGATACGCAGCTTTCAAAGTCCAATATTTTGGAAGTTTTAATGCAAGATGGGGTCAGGCACGTGTTTTTGGGGTGACCTCCCCACACTATTTACAGCAATGGTGATATTGTGTATGAATTGGAAAGGGCAGTTTCTAATAGAAAAGTGGGTGTACCAGCCTGAATAGCTGGCACGCCGGCCAGATCCACTTAGTCTACTTGTAGAGTGCTGTTGTATGTTTTTGTGAATGTGCAAATGTGATGGCTAACCTGGACACCATAAATTTGTTTCTGGACTACATTTCCCATGATGCTCAGCTAGCTTTTAGTCTAAAAGCTAGCTGAGCATCATGGGAAATGTACGTGCTTATTGGGAATGCAAGAGTCTAAATCTTGAGACGGGAGTCCCGTATAGGGACTGTTGTGCCAAATCTGGAATTGTTGGGAGCTATACTTTGTCTCTATTATAATCTGCACCCGGGATAGGCACGTTCGTCAATCCAGATGTTGTGCACTAAAACTCGCATAATGCTGGCAAAGCATTAGGGGGGATATAGTCCCCAACATTTGGAATGCCAGGGGTTAACCTACTCCTGCTCATTATATATTGCATTAAGAATGATGAACAACTCTAGCCAGGAATGTCCTTTAACAACTTGAATTGTTTTTTTTTTTTTCTCTGTTTGAACTCTCACTTGCAATGTTTCTTCATCTCTGTGGTGACTTTTTACAAACAAACCATTGTGCTGTTGGTCATGCTTTGCAATCCTGCTATTATAAACCACTAGAGGCACAAACTGTCATTCAGGAGATGATCAACTGATCGGAAACCGGGAATCACAACGTAATTTTGGAAAATCATTGTCAAAAATGTGATTGCTCTTACAGCAGACTTTCAAATAACCCCCAAAACATTATGGCCGCAATTGGTATTTTTAATGACTGTCAGAATGTGGGCAGTCTATGCAATGATGAGTTAATTTACACATCTCCCAGGTTTTGGACTTGCTCTAATCTATAGAATAGGAAACCAGGTGACCGATCTGTTTGTTACAAAAATGGTGACCTTCCGTTTGATCAGTTTTCAAAGTATAGCTGGAGGCCATTTTGTTGATTACACACTGTCCTTGTAAAATTTATAATTGTCCTCTCTTAGCAAATATCGTTACCACACACACTTCAGTTTGCTTTGCATTTAAAGGGACATATACATGTCCCTATATAATTTTTTACATTTTTTTTAATTGTCCTAGTTAAAATTCACGGACCTAACCTAACATGTTACAATTTCATCTTTTATTGCGTTCTGATCTGGGCTCAGCCTTTCGAAAGTAACTGTGATCTGTATCCTAGAACTTTCTACAGCTTTCTATAATCTTGCTGAATATGGTGGTAAAAGAGGGGTACACAAGGCTTTAGAAAAATAAATAATGCAACATTTAAAATGTTCAGTGAGCAGACAATAGACCTCTATTCATGAAAATAAGTGTTTAATACACTTGTAGGCAACAGGTCATTTAACTATGGCTACCAGCTGACAAAGAATTAAGGAATTGTACTACTTAAACAGCTGAAGGTCAGTCCCTAGGCTACTGCTGGTCACTTTCCCCAAATCCTCCTTAATGATGGTGGGCTTCATGCACAATCTATGATTGTTATGCTGCATCAAGGAACTTTTAGATTAATTCCCCTATCAGTAATAAATGTATTCCACATAACCAACATTAAATAAAAAGTACAAGAAATATTGTGAAGTTTAATGTAATTTAGGCAACTGTGAAATTTCAAGATCAGGTTTGCCATCATTAGGGCAGAATTGTGTATATAGAATGTTCAGCATGTGAGTGATCTGATGAAACCCACTTTGCATTTATGTGTTTGTTTTTTTTTTTTTTTTATATATTTTTTAAAAAATGTTATTTTCTTTGTTACGGACTTTCCAAGTTCTGTGCTGTGATATAATGTAAAGAAGTCTGTTTTGAAGAACTCTTTTGAGCTGCTCACTTCTGTTTTTTTGTTTGTGTTTTTTTTTTTTTTGTAACATGTCAAAAGATTATTCTTTGTCGGAGCAAGAGAAGGACATTTACCTGACATGCTGTCTTTGATTCACCTGGAAAGGTTTACACCGGTACCTGCCTTGCTGTTTAATGTAAGTCCTTTTTCCTCTCTGTACCACGTCACCTATCCCTGCAAACCAAGCCTGCTGCTTCACCTGTCCTGTGTTTTCAAATCCCAGTTAATCTATGCTACACCCATTGAGAGCCACCCTGCAGCTGTATAACACTGTCACAGTAGAGCTTGTTTCCAGCCACTCCCAAGCTCTACCTATCTAAATAGACAGGGTGTTTGTTTTTGCACCACGACTGAGGACGACAGAAAAAAAAAAAGCAAATACAGCCGGCTCGTAGATGAGTAGTATGATGAAATAAGATCCTCGTAGAACAGACGTTAATATAAATTCCATTCTTTATTAAAAAAAATAAATCAAAAAGTATTGTCTACCAATTAAAAAAATAAATCAATAAACCGCCTGCATGACCTGATTCATACAAAGAACTGTGTAACATGGATCGCATCCCTATAGACCAGGAATATAGTATGTTTGTTTGAAGTGTAGGCAGCCCCCTCACATATGTCACTCAAATTGTGCTAGGGTTAATGTGTGAATGATCTTTTCCTAAAATGTGCAATAATTGGGTATCGCTTGTGTCCTTCATTGCAGTGTGCTGCTACCCTCGTCTACCTGTCCGTAAAGGATGTATTCCAGTTGATTAATTATTACAGCTTCAGTTATTGGCTGTTTGTTGGTCTGTCCATTGCTGGACAGATTTACTTGCGCTGGAAGGAACCAAACCGTCCACGACCGGTCAAGGTTAGTCTCTGTTTGTTCGTGATATGTGTTATTGAAATGATGCTCGGTTTGGGATTTATTTCGTAAAGTTAATCCGAGGTGAAGATAGAACCCAAAACCAACTCAAGGATCATTTGGGGTCTTGTTATGGTCAAAGCAACGTCAAACCAATTTTGATTAATCCAGTTCCTGAGCTGGGTCTTTATAGATATCACCAAGGGGAAGTTTAACAATTTACATGGTAAATGGTGAAATCGCATATCGCAGTGCCAAAAACATGGGATCTCAAGATGAGTTGAGTGTTTGAAGATCCGAGATCTGGTCCCAATTCTTGTTTCTAAATTGTAGTTCCATGTGAAATGCCAAACTTAAAAAAGCCTTAAATACATGTCTATGAGAATCTACTATTTTGTGTAACCATAGACAATGTAAGAAGGAAACCGATGGAGTAGGTTGTAAATAATAATGAACTGATGAAGCATGTCCAAAAAGGTTTCCGCACATGTAACAGAGTCAATAATATTCTCAAGTTCTCTGTAGCTTCTGGTCTCCACCTGTCGATCTGCCACCTGACTAAAACTCTACCCCCCAGTACATTTCTTCTTTTCAATTCATGGGTACGCCCCTTCTTTCTCTCCGCTCGGCCAGTGACTTTTTTTCCTGTGTGCTGCTCTAACTCTTACTGCTGATTTCCGCTTGCAAGACTTATCACTGGCTGCTCCTTTCCTCTGGAAAAGCCTCACTTCTCCTATCAGACTCTCCTCTAGTCTTCAATCATTTAAGAAGGCCCTCCAATCCCATTCTCAGAATAGCCTATGGCCTCCCGTAGTAACATGTATTTCACAAACCGGTCTCTTGTTCTCTCTTAAAGGGCCACACTCTTCAACTCTGTCTCCCCAAAACTTCCCATCCTGTCGTCTGGTTGCTATCACCCACGCTGCCCTTCCTATTGTGGTTTTTTATACACCACCACCTCCTAGATTGTAAGCCCTTTCGAGCAGAGCCCTCATCAACCTTTTGTTCCTGTAACATTTTGTGATTGTCTCATTTTTTTGTTAAATATCCCTCCCTTGTAATATTGTAAAGCGCTGCAGAATATGTTGGCCGTATAAATGATAATATAGTGTAGGTACAACTTGTGTTGCCAAAATCACTCTTATGCATCAAGGCATGGACTCTACAAGACCTCTCAACATGTCTTGTGGTATCTGGCATCTTAAATCCTGCAAGTTGCAAGGTGGGGCCCCAAGGGATCAGATTTGTTGTTCCAGCACTTTCCACAGAGGCTCAATCGGATTAAGATCTGGGGAATTTCGAGGCCAAGGCAAACACCTTGAATACTTTGTCCTGGTCAGTTTTTGCAGTGTGGCAGGGTGCATTATCCTGCTGAAAGAGGCCACCGCCATCATGGAACATAATTGCCATGAATGGGTGTACGTGGTCTGCAACAATGTTTAGGGCAGTGGTACATATCAATGTAACATCCACATGAATACCAGGACCCAAGGTTTCCAAGCGGAACGTTGCCTTGAGCATAACCCTGCCTCAGTTGGCTGGTTTGCCTTCTTCCCATAGTGCATCTTGCGGTCATCTCTTCCCCAGGTAAATGATGCTCATGTCCATCCACCTGATCTAAACGAAAATATGATTCATCAGAACAGGCAACCTTCTTCCATGGTCCAGTTCTGACAAACCTGTTCCCATTGAAGGTGCTTTCGGCAATGGACAGCGGTCATTATGGCCACTCTAACCGGTACCACCACATACGCAACAAACTATAATGTACTGTGTGTTCTAACACATTTCTATCATGGCCAGCATTCAGTTTTTCAGCTGTTTTTCAATTTGAGCTATAGTAGCCTTGGGTGCCTATGACCCTGATGCCAAATTGCTGGTTGTTCTTCCTTGTACCACTTTGGGAGTTAATAACCACAACCTACCATGAACACCACATGAGACATGCCTTTTTGGAGATGCCCTGATCCAGTCATCTAGCCATCACCAATTGGCCTTTGTCAAAGGCCCTTTTCGCATTCCCATTTTTCCTGCTTTCCACACATGAAAGTTATGAACTGTCTGTTCACTTACTGCCTACAATACCCCACTCCTTTACAGGTGCCATTGTAACGATATAATCAATGTTATTTCCTTCACCTGTCAGGGATTTAATGTGGCTGATCAGTGTAGGCTTTGTCACTGATGCTGCTAAGAAGATTAGGATCCAAACACAAGCCACAAGTCCTCCAGGGATTAACCTAAAATATACTGTTTAGTGGTTTGAGGCATCATCTGCTAATTCCACCTGTCTGCACTGCCCGTTCTTTCTGCTCTGCTGGGTATTCATCTCTTATGTTCTATACTGCAATGCATAGCATCCACTTTTATTTTCCCCCTTCTATGGAAATCATATGAGATACCCATATATACATGTTTCCAGTGCATTCTTTTTTGAGTGTTTTCTTAGAACAGGAATAAGCAATTTTCAGCACTCCAGATGTTGTGGACTACAATCCCCATGATGCTTTGGCACCATTATGGGAGAAGTACTCCACAACCAGCATCTGGAGTGTCGAACGTTGCCTACCCGTCTTATCTACTCTATCCTTCACATCATGATTTATATTTAATTTAACCACCCTGTACATTTATTTTATTTTACATATCCTGTGTGCATTGTATATTTTCTTGCCTTTATATCTTGTCTGTTATGCTAAAGTGTAATTTTGCTAGTCCTGTATGTAATTGTTTTATTCACCTATATTCATTCCTCTATTTCATCTCTGATCTATGACTGAGCTCTGACCCCTCCTTTCTTTTATTGATACGTTTGTTTTTATTTGAATATCCATCTCTTTATCTCTGTGCCTAGATACAAATCCCCCTCCTTCAGCTTTATTGCAAGCCTATCTGACCCTCACATATCTTCATTCAACAGTCTGATTTTCAAACTTTGAAAGCCCAATACTGCTGTAAGCTAATACATACAATATAGTTGGTTGGTCACACTTCTGAATATGTCTGAAAGAAATATATACAAAACACAATATAGTGTAATATTGTCTGTGCTGTTGAATAATAAGGAATTGGAGTCAGGTACTCACAAGCCTAGAGCCAAATATCTCATGGCTCTCATGGATGTCGCCTTGGGACTATTATAAAGGATGTCCCCTTCCTATTTCCAGATGGCTTGATAGCTGTTTCAGTTGAACTTGAATAAGCTCCAAGGATCCAATGGTAATCTCAAAGAAATACTTTTATTGCTCCACAAAATATATATAAAAGATATAATGTATAAAAACTATAAGACAATAATAAAAGAAAGTCTATAGCTGTTATGCTATAGAGGTTAGTCCTGCCAATTGGCAAATGTAGTCCAAATGTGTCCGAAACGTGTTTCGCCCCTCCAGGGGCTTTTTCAATCGGCGTATATATTGTGTTTTGTATATATTTCTTTCAGACATAATCAGAAGTGTGACCAACCAACTATATTGTATGTATTTGCCTGTATTTCTTTGAGTGGTGTAAGGTGGATTGTGGCATTATTGCTACTACACTTAGTCCCACTATCTTTCTGTATATATTTGTGTTTTGCACTGCTGTAAGCTAGCCTGTTGCCCACCCTCCCCACCTCTTACCATCCCACCCCATGCTCTTAACTACATTTATAGATTCTGTCACACCCACATTTTAAATGGGGGAAAAAAAAAAAGGAACAGGTGTACACACTTCCTCTTATTAGTACACTCCTGCACTTTCTTAACCCATGAAACTTAATATTTATCCTACATTCACCTGCTCTTGATATTCGAATTATTTCAAATTTATTCTTTCACAGTTTAGCAATGATCTGTCTTCTCCTCCTCTTTATTTCCTCAGTATAACAATCTCTCCTTACACCCACTTCACTCATCCCCCCCCATCCACATTTACATATGCTCCTCTCTGCTACACTCCCCCCTTCTCTCATCTCATGCCTTACACTCATTTTTCTACTCTCACACTCCAACCCACAATCGATCTCATCCTAGACCCCATGCATACAAAACCCATTCACACCACCTGTCACTTTCTCTCCTCCTGCTTCTAGCAGCTGGTGATGTCTCTCCCAATCCAGGGCCCTTCACCTTCTCTACACACACTAAGAAAACCAGAAACCCCACAAACCTCATCACCATACCCTGCCCTATACCCTCACTTACCAACATTCAGTGTGCTCTCTGGAATGCCCGCTCCATCTGCAGTAATTTTAAAATAAACAACCATGCACGACTTTTTCATCTCAAACTCACTCACACTGCTTGCACTTACAGAGACCTGTCTGTCCCACTCCTTTAAGAATTGCTATAATCAACCCCCCCTGGTTATCCTAGACTATTCATTGAGCCCTTTTCTTTCTGGCTTCCCCACTTCCACTCATCTAGCACTCCTTCCCTTATACTTGGGGATTTCAATATCCCAATCAACAATCCCAATTGCACTGATGCTTCTCGTCTGCTCTCTGTAACCTCCTCCTTTGGCCTTACGCAATGGGCCAATTTAGCAACCCATACAGCGGGAAACACTCTCGATCTCACCAACCTTTGTACTGCCTCTAATCTATCCAATATTCCTTTTCTTCTATCTGACCACCATCTGCTGACTTTTGACATTGGCATACATAAGACCCAATTGACACCACCGTCTGAACATCAGTCTCACAGAAACCTCCAATGTCTTGACGTAGAGCATTTCTCCACTAATCTCCAAACTCTTCTTTTAGTTATCTCAAACCTCACCTGTCCTAGTTCTGCAACCTCCTTCTACAATTCCACCCTCTCGTCTCAACTAGACATCATGGCACCTTCTACATTTAAATGCCGCAGGCACCCCCAACAACAACCTTGGCACACCAAGCTCACTCGATACCTCCAAAAATGCTCCAGAACTGCTGAACGCTGTTGGAGAAAGTCTCACTGTGCATCTGACTTTCTCCGCTATAAATTTATGCTGAGCTCCTACAGCTTGGCTCTTTCGTCTGCAAAAGTAAATTACTTCAATACCCTCATAACCACACTCTCCCGTGAACCCAAACGACTATTACACACATTTAACTCTCTTCTTTGCCCTATTGTTCCTCCTCCACCTACTAACTTGACCACCTCAGACTTTGCAACTCACTTCACTGACAAGATCTTTATAATCAGGGAAGAGAACTCTTATCTATCTTCCTCCCCTTACAATACTTCCCCTAACTTCACTCCCTCTGCTGTTCTATGTTCATTCGCACCCGCTACATTGGAAGAGGTTTCTGCTCTGCTCCAGTCCTCCCGCCCCACCATCTGCTCCCTAGATCCAATTTCCTCGCATCTCATCCGTTCTCTCTCTCTCTCTCTCGCTCTCTCTCCCCTCTCCCCCCCCCTCCCATGCAGATGACACGCAAATCTACCAGTCCTCTCCTGATCTCTCCCTGTCCCTCTTGACTAGTGTCTCTCTGACTGCCTCTCTGCTATTTCTAACTGGATGGCTGCCCACTTCCTTAAACTAAACTTGACCAAAACTGAAATTCTGGTCTTTCCTCCCTCAAGTGTTGTTACTCCTGTGTCTGTCTCCCTCCAAGTCAACGGTGCTACCATCAGCTCCACCACGCAGGCTGCTGCCTAGGTGTTCTCTTTGACTCCGACCTCTCCTTCAAGCCTCATGTTCAATCTATCACCAAATCCTGTCGTTTCCATCTCAAAAACATTGCGTGCATCCGTCCCTACTTAACGCCAGATGTGACTAAGGTGCTGGTCCATTCCACTGTCTTTTCTCGCCTTGACTACTGTAATCCGCTTCTCAGTGGTCTTACGTGCTCCCAACTTGCGCCGTTACAATTCATAATGTCCGCCCGCACCTCCCACGCCTCACCCTTCTGTCAGTCCCTACATTGGCTTACTGTAAGATATATAGGGCTCAATTTAAAATTCTGGTTCTTGCTTTCAAATCTCTACATAATGCTGCTCCCATCTATCTATCCTCCCTAATACACAAGTATGTCCCGTCTAGGCCCTTATGATCTGCTGAAGACTTAAGTCTATCTTCTGTCCGTACTCCCACCTCTGATGCTCGTCTTCAAGACTTCTTGAGGGCTGCACCGTTCCTGTGGAACTCACTTCCCTCCTCCGTTAGATGCTCACCCAGTCTCCACTCCTTCAAAAAATCATTAAAAACCCACTTCTTCACAAAAGCGTATCAATTAAACTGTTAATAGCTCCTGACTGATTCCTCTTCTGCAACTGTCATTAGTCTAATACTATCCTTTCCTTTTGTGTCACTTTACCCCACTCCCTCTACCATGTAAGCTCATTGAGCAGGGCCCTCAACCCCTCTGTTCCTGTGTGTCCAACTTGTCTGGTTACAACTACATGTAATCTTTAAGTGTAAATTACTTTCTTTATCACTTAAATTGTTCTATGGTATATCCTTTTATCGTAAAAATGTTAGCTCATTTAAAAGGTGACCATGTCCTCTCCTATTGCAGCTCAGCCTCTTCTACCCCATTGTGTTCTGCCTGTGTACGGTTTTCCTAATTATAATCCCACTGTACAGCGATACTGTAAACTCCCTCATTGGGATTGGAATTATGCTGTCTGGAGTACCAGTCTTCTTCATGGGAGTATATTTACCGGAATCCAAAAGGCCGCCTTGCATCGGAGAGCTCCTTGGTGGGTATAGCTACAGTGATTCTATCTGTTATCAGTTTTAAACCTGAACCACTTGTAGACTTCAAATTTTGTTTAATAGCCTTAAAGTATTTTTTACTTAAAATAAAACCAATAATTTTCATTGTGCAGCCTTGCTAGAGCCAATGGTACACTTTCTCCATGTTTGAATACTCTAAGCAAAAAATATACATTTACCTTGAATCACACCTGAGTAACCCTAGTATAGTGTATTATTCTCTACTATATCGCATTTAAATGTATGATGTCTTTTAATCCAGTTGTGTGAAGGTTTTATCACCGCACTGAAAACTGTATTGTTCAGTTTGTATTAATGGTTTGATGGGTCTACTATTTACATTCCCACTCTAAATATGCCTATTCCAGGTTTCCTTACTCGATGGACTCAGCTGATCTTCAACTGTGTTTTGACCGAATTGGATCCACTAGAGGAAGATAAAGAAAAGAGAGTTTAAAATTTGACTTGTACAGTGGGGCAAGTAGTTCCTTTTGAGAACGAGGCATGTTGTCTGAAGGTACAGAAGGTATCTGCTCTTGTGGTCTGGAGAAGGCACTGTTGTATAATAAAGAGCTAGTGAGTGGACAGCTGAGCAATGTCAAGATAGGAATTATCCAAAAACTGTTCTCTCCAAAGGTTAACAACCCCCAAAGGGTGTCGGAATGACCTAATGCCTTTTACACTCCTGTTTTGTCATTTTAGGTTTAAAATATATATATTTTTTTTAATGTTTGTTGTTTGCAACAAATCCAGTGGGTACTATAATATTTTTATTATTTTTTTTCCATCACTATCAAAGATCCATTTTTATGTTTGAATTTAAGACAAATCTGGAAATTGGATTACAAAAAGAAATTCTGCTGGCAGTTTTTTTTTCCCCCTCTCAAATAAACAGAACACAAAGAATATGAGTAAATGTTGTCTACAAGATGAGGCACGATTCTATGATAAGATGTGAAGCCATATTTCAGGTCAAACAAAATTTGTAAATCGTCTCTCGGCTGAAATATCTATTCTCTGTACTGCATATACAGGACTGCTAAGACTTTTTGGAGACCTCCTCACTTCTTAGTCTTATTTACCTCAGTCACAAGAACTTTTAATCTCTTTAATATTTACTAATCTGTACTCTCTCTCTCATTTTCAGTTGCAACCTTCCTTGGCAGTGAATTCCTTGCTTTATACATAGGTAATAACGCTTTGGAAAATGAGAGGCTCGCTGGGCTACAGATCCTTTGCTGCTTCCCCTGATGGTGGCATGGTCTATGCTGGGAGTAGGTAATCTGCACAACTCCAGATGTTGTGGACTACATCTCCCATGATCCTCTACCAGTATTGTGGCTGTATGAATATTATGGGAGATGGTAGTCCACAACATCTGGATTGCCAAAGGTGGCCTTACCCCTTGCGAAGATGCCTCCCAGTCATAAGGTTCTGTCCTGGAGGCCTGGAAACTCACTACCAAATCTGGAGTGTTTGGGACAAGTACAGCCAGTTGTCATCTTCCTATAACAGAACTAGATTTAAATAATTCTCCCAAATCTGGTTACTGTTACAGGAATCAAAGTCAGCTCCAAGGATGTTTGCTTCATCTAGCTTGTTCAAGAATTTGTCCCGTAGTGGCTTGTTTTCAGAACATGTTCTAGATAATCCAGGGATTGATGAAAATGAAGTGTGTTGAGAACACAACAAAACTGACCAGTAACCTAAAAAAAAATACTTTTTTTTTTTTTTTTTTTACTTATCTATACATTTGTTGGCTGCTCAGTTAGCACTGGATAGTGTATAGATAAAAGTATTATAAAATAATTATATAATGCAGGGGTATGTTTTCAGTATTCATCCCATTTTTCTGGTCATGTCACTGTTGTATTCATAAACTGAATATATTTTATTATACTGTATGGCAAAAGCCATAGTTTAAACCAGTCCCTGTGTATTCAGAAGTACCTAGTGGGATAAATATAGCTCTGTTTTAATTCACAGCTGCAGTGTGAGATTCATATTCTGTTCTGTCAACTGGCTCCATGTTTAACATACAGCAATAAGATTACATTCAGAATATAATATCACACAGCCTAGCATTTACCAGGATCCTAATCCAATCTTAAATGGGCACTCCTAGCCCCATAACAATGTGTGCTCTTTACAGCAGTTATGGTGCGATGAATTCTACTTGTATTATGTAGGTTCAACTCAATATTATAACCGCTCTCAATGTAAGAACTATAGAATTTATCATAAAGATAAATTATATATTTGATACCTTCGGGAGGTGGTAAACATGTACTTACCTGCTGCCCCTGCCGCCATTCCCAGAAGGCCTTTTGTGTGTTACACTAATGTAATTCTCACTCGCTGGTCCTCCTTGCTTCCGACCCCTCTGCACAGAGTTTAAGCCTGCTCGGGTGCTTGATCCTAAACAGTGCAATCTTTGCTTCATTGCCGACCCATCTCTATCAGAACGGAGTGACGCAAGTCATTTTTCTTTTGTACCCCAGCAAGCATGAGAAAAGCTTACTTGGGAATATTTGTGATGGGAAAACGGGATGACTTCCGGTTGGAGGGGTCTCCTGGTCTCAATTGTCACTCAGTCTTCTGCTTAGACTTGTATGCCACTGGCATCTATACAGAGAATTGATTGACAGGTGGGGGAGCGACCAAATGGTAAAGTGCTTCAAATTAAAATCTGTAATTTTTTTTTTTTTTTTTTAACTGTAAATTTAATGACTTGTGCCCTGACAAGCACATATTAAGCTGGCCCTGTCCAAATACTTTTATGGTGTGTGCCTTCGGAGGCGTGCAAAATCTACAAGACTCCTTCATAGTGTTCTGTAACGGAGCGATCAAGTAATAAGCTAATATCTTTCTTGCCCCCGAGTGCTGCATTGTACAGCATGTCGGCAGATACTGACATTAGGATTGGCTGACAGGTGTGTGAGTATAATAAATGGAATGCTGGGGGCATGGCAAAAAAATTCATGTGAAACGGATGGTGCCGCTTTAACTACTGGCTTCTTTGCAGATATTGGTGTTTTTGTTTTCTCCCTCCTCTCGTTCATTATCAATAGACCTTTTAAAGAGAACAAAATTCAGTTTTACAAAAAGGATCAACAATTTAAATTCATACAGAACCTTTTTTTTATCTTGTCAGTCAGTGCAAAAATAATTACTAAGTTCTTGGAGAAAGTGGTTTGTTTTTAATACCTCTTCTAGCACTAAGCAGCCCTTTTTACAGACCCCACAAAAGTGTTCCAGTGGGGACTTATTTGCGTTGCTGCTGATTTAATTTAAAAAAAATAATAATCAATAATAAAACCATTACTAAAAAATTTTTTATATATATTTTTTGTAATTTCCATGCATGAGTTTGTAGTTGACTTAAAGCAGTGGTTACAGGGACACACTAGGCTGTTGTGGTTAAGGTGCCAGCCTCCTGTCTGGTTCTGCTGAATAGTCTGATGAAAATATAGGGGCCCCCTCACTCGTCTTGTATCAATTTCTTCCATATTTGGAAGGCTCTGATTGGCTGATAGTGTCAGTTGGCTCTTTCAGCCAATCAATGCTGTCAAAAATTGAAATTCCCACGTTCACAATTGGCAGTGAGGGCATGTCTACACGTGCCTGAGGACTCCAATTCTGAGTCAAACTGCTCAAAATTGATTTGCACAAACCAAATAGTTGGCTCCAGTCAGTTGCTTGGAAGCAATGTAGCCACTACAATGGACTCTGCTAATTGTGGTGCTTAACTTTTTTTTTTGGGTGGCAGGGAACCTAAATTATGTAGATGCCGTTAGCTTGATGACACATTGTTATGTAGAAAATGCATGGATTAGCATTGTGCCACTGCTAGAGGTCTCCATTGCATTTAGGGAAGACATTGCTGCTATAGTAACGAACAGACTGTGGGGAGTTGTCTGTGTGAATGAATATGATCTGTCTGTTTCAAAAATTGGGAACCCTACAGATCATACAGAGGCTAAAGTTGTGCCTCATCCCTCCAGTGGTTAAGAATAGCTGTTTAAAGAATGGGTCTTAAACTCAACTGCCATGGGTATACTGCTTTGTATTAACCTGTTTTGTCAGACGCAGATCCTTACTCCGAGACGTGCACACTCTCGTCCAATAAACCTGCACCCACAGCACTTTACTAATCACAAACTGCACTGATTCTACACACTCTTCCGTCCCAGCATGGGTAGTAGCATGACTGGTGGCTACTTTCCTATATTGTGTGCACCAACCAGCTTCATCACTGTAAGAGCTACTTTAAGCACCACCTTAAGTATTTTAAGTAGTTTTGGTGCTTTTTATATTTTTCCTCCGTGCTGCTCATAGTTATATATTTTATGTTGCTGCTGTAAGTGTAAAACCACCTCTAGCAGCATCATCAGCCATCATGCAATGAGACTTCCAGGCCGGCTAATGTCAATTTTGTGCATATTCCATCCACAGAGGGTTAGTCCGCAGCCGCCCTCAGTCAGTGAATGACTGGTGGGATAGCATCTAGTTTCTGCAGCAGGCAGATGCACATTACTGGCATTAAGAGGTTTGACGCCCGGTGGGACCCAAACCAGAGTAAAAACCATTGAGAACTAGTTTGTCCCATTACCAGTGGGCTGTAGTGGTTATGATTCTTGGAGAAACCCTTCAAGTCCTGGCTTATGACTGCAAAATTAGGCAAAAATTACTCCTGACTCAGCCAGCCTCTTGAAAGACTGTAAATAATGGCGTGATGTGGCCTAGGCTACCTGGAATAGAAGTTTTAGGAAGGTATGTCTTGGACTCGAGACATAACTCTCTCTTTCAGGATTGTTCTTGGGCAAACTGGGATTAGTAGATGCAGGCCACTAGCTGGGAGCCAGAAAAAGCACGCAATAGATTAATTCCAGATTTAAAGCATTGAATTTCTTAGCCTATAGAACCCTGATTATGTAAACCATAGCTATCACTTTACTAGTGGCATTTAACGATAATGTGCATCACATGGCTATATCAAGATTACGATTACGCTAGATGCGTGTTTAGAAGGCTCAGTAAAGGGGCTGTATGCTTGTATTTATTTTGATTTGTGATCATCTTAAAAGTAGTCAATTAAAGGACCACTATAGTGCCAGGAAAACACTGGTTTTCCTGGCACTATAGTGCCCTGAGGGTGCCCCCACTCCTGTGGTGCTGAAGGGGGAGGAAGGGGTTAATACCTTACCTTTTTTCCAGTGTTGGGGACTCTCCTCTCTTCTTCAGTCATCGGCTTAATGCGCATACGCGGCAAGAGGCGCGCGTATTAAGCCAGTCCGTAGGAAAGCATTCTCAATGCTTTCCTATGGACGCTGGCATCTTCTCACTGAGAAAATCACAGTGAGAAGCGCGGAAGCGTCTCTAGCGGCTGTCAATGAGACAGCCACTAGAGGCTGGATTAACCAATAGGTAAACACAGTAGTTTCTCTGAAACTGCTACGTTTACTGCAAAAAGGGTTAAACCTAGCTGGAACTGGCACCCAGACCACTTCATTAAGCTGACGTGGTCCTTTAACAGAATTTCAACTTTTCTGTTAAAGGGGAGGAGAGGAGATTGAATTGTATCCAATTTTCTGTATTCTGTTTGGATTGGGGGTAGTGGTGGAAACTATTGAGTTCCGTCCTATTATCTTGTATAACTTGTACTGATAATGGTTTTTCTTATGTTTAACAAAGGAGGATAGGTCTCTCACTTTCACATCTATGGCTTTTTGACTGTGGCCATCGTGAAATGGTTAATGCACCCAGGTTTAAAACAATACATGTGCTTTTACACTCCACTATTACAATGAGTATTGTACATGGTAATTAACAATAGTGTCTCAACCTATATACTGTTCAAATTGCCAAACTAAACAGCATTGTTAGAATTCACTCCACAACCAACTATGTATAGGTAGGTATATCCAGCAGTACTCCATACAAACCCCCATAACTGTTTACTGGCAGCAACTGGCTTTAGCACCACTCTACAGCAGCTGGCTAGGCATGTCTATATTTATTAAAATTTATTTTATAGGGGAACACTATCATTCACAACACTAGGTCTGATGGAGCAACACTGAGCTCACCCACATCAGGGCACAAAAAGATTAAAACTTGTCTGCCTGGCACCCAGAACTACAAGGGGCGGACTTTAGGAATTTCACCAACCTGAAGGAGTAGACTGCTAAAAGCATGTTGGGTTTTAAAATGCTGGGTGTTACGCTGGAGGCACTTGTGACAGTATCAGATGAAATGTATGACTTACCATTAACCCTCTGCTACCTCACACTCTGTGCAAGGTGCACATGGACTATTTCATGTCAGTGGATGGGACACCAGTATCAATGATTCTCTTTGAGTTCCTGATAATCCACACTTAATTTAAAACCTTGCTGAAGGGACACTCCAAGCACCATACCTCCATATGCTTCTTGCACAGATTACGGTGAATGAAGGTCCTCTGCTCCTGTCTTCCAGCACACAATGCATTTTAACTGCAGACTACTGCAATCTTGCGCCTTTACAGGCAGACAGTAATAACCGAGGCATCACCTGCTGTAATGCGAACCTCTGTAGTTTGCCATATGTTTTATTATAATAGAATGAATACCTTTTTAAACATCGGCAAATTATAGAAAGACAGTTCTATAAAGTATTACTAACTTAACGAAAGAACCATGTAATGTACAAGTAGATAGTATTTTAATTTTTAGCAAAGCACTACAGAGTTTAAATAGGACTCATCCAAGCCAGAAATCATTTTATAGGCGATTAATAAGAAAAGTCAGTCTTTACCTATACAGTACCTACAATCTATAATTATTTTTATAGTAACTGGTCTTTTAAAAACTGAATTATTGTCCAGTGGAACGGATCTAATTTATACATTGCGATTGATTTTTTTTTTTATTGAATTTTTTTTTTTTTAGTTGATTAACAAGAACACTACATAAACCAGTAGTTGTATAGTACAAAACTAAAGAGTGTGGGTGAAACGAACAATACAGTATCAGAACATACAGTGTGCTGTGTAGCCATATAGAGTGAATCAGTATTAAGGTGCTTATGAAGGTCGGACGATTAAATCTGATTGAGTAATTAGTCCGAGACAGCCACCAGTTTGCGTGCAAGCATTGGAGACTGTTGGGGTACAAGGCCACATACTTCAATGAATGATCCCGGACGGATCTATTCAGTCGGCCATAGATTTAAAAGAAACTGCTTCATTATGGATTACAAAAACAGCATACCAATAAGATTGGTAAAACTCTATAGGGCTTTAAGTAACATCCAATTAGTTTGGACTTTTCCAATATTACATATTAGTGTAATTTAACTTTGGAAATTAGCGCATGAGCCAGAAACGATTCTCAGGGGCCCCTTAAGATTTTTAAGTCCTTCATGCGGTTTTCATTCCTCTAAACTGAAGATGACCATGATACACACATGGCAGCTCTCAATGCACAGCTTCGAGTATGGAGTTATTTCAATACTGTAGCAAATCTCACAGGGAAAATGTCATTTTGGTGCTTTTGTGTGCTATATTTTATATATACAATAAAGGAGTTAAAAGCCTGTCTGCCTCTTTGACTTTATTATGCTTGTTTTAGGATGGATACATAGCAAAGGTAAATTTATTATGATGTAAACTTGTAGAGACTGACCGGTTCAGCCAGTGTGAAATGTGATCTACCCTACTGACACTAATACTACATCTCATGTTCCGTGTATAGAGAGGAGTACAGTTAAAACAGACGTAATACAGACCTAAAACTTAATGAACGTGCCTTGATTTTATTTATGGACCAAAACTATGTTGATAAATACATAGTTTTGGTCTGTACTTTTACAGACAATCACAATACAGTTTTTTGATTTTAGACGCTAAATGGATACTCCAGGCACCATAACCACTACCGCATGCTGCAGTGGTTATGGAGTCAGGAGAACTGGAAGCCACTACATGGAGCTTCTATAAGCTCTGCAGTCCAGGGTTGGCTCATTGGTTTAGAATTTTGCTGACTGGTCCCAGCCAATGAGCGTAGCCCTGCACTGCTATGCTTTACAGACATAACTTCAATTGAGTTTGATTTATTGAATTCAGTTACCCGAAATGTAAATGTTGCAAGAGTTTACAGCCTCATGCTACATAACTAATACCTATTTCATGCTGCATACGCTTTGGGCTATAATGTATGTTGAATAGAAAACCATCTTTATGCAGAATTTTCTTCTTAAAACATTTTAATAAAGTATTTTAAATTTAACAAAACTCATTTTCACCCACCTAGTATCAAATAAATACACCTTGGCTTCTAGCGCTTTTAGTTCTACAGTTCTCAGAAATGTTTACTCCTAGAATGTTTAGAAACTTTGTCCAAAAATAGCTGGTCAGACTGTGCACACCGTATTCTATAAACTGGATGAGCAGAAAGTATGCTTAGCTCATGATACTAAATTGTTTAGAATCAAATTCTAGATAGGACTAAAATGGGGGTTGTGCATAAGTAGTGCTAAAGTTTATTAATCACAACTCCCATATGATTGCTTGGTTACTATTTTCCATTTAAATGTCTTGTGTAAATGCAGTATGTACAAGTATTGGCAATATTCATGTCACTATTCTGCATGCGAGAACGTGTCCCTCCAATAAGCCGTTTCAGCCCCGTGTTTACATAAGTCGAGAAATTATGGAAAACTAGGTTCCAAGGTATGAATAGTTAAATATACTCTTGAAGGCTATTTGCTGACTCGTTGAAAGGCTCATGTAACATTTATGCCACTCTTATTGCTGAATGGATTTCAATCAAAAAGGAGCACTATAGTCACCCAGACCACTTCAGTTCAATGAAGTGGTCTGGGTGCCAGGTCCCTCAGGTTTTAACCCTTCAGATGCAAACATAGCAGTTTTAGAGAAACATTTGGGGTTAAGCCAGCCTATAGTGGCTGTCTTCCGGACAGACACTAGAGGCGCGTCTGCGACGCTGGAGGCATATTATGCCTTCATCTCGCAGAGCGTCCATAGGAAAACATTGAGAAATGCTTTCTTATGGACTCTTTGAATGCGTGCGCGCGCCACCTGCTGCGCATTCCGCTCCTGACGTCTGAGTGGGAGGAGGGTCACCAGTGCCGAGGGAGCCCGGTGCTGGAATAAGGTAAGCTGCTGAAGGGGTTTTAATCCCTTCAGCTCCACGGGAGGGGGCACTATAGTGTCAGGAAAACCGCTTTGTATTCCCGAAGCTATAGTGACCTGTTTAGGTGACAACCCCCACCTGCAGGGAGGAAAAAGTTATTAACCTTTTCTTCCTCTCAGCGCGGTTTCTGTGGCTGGCCCCACATCCTTGGTTAAGATCAATGATCTGAACTAATCCATGCTTTCCCATAGAAACGTATGAAAGCATTGGTAAGCTAGTCCACATGTGACAATCAGTCTGTGCGTTTTACTCCGCTATTTCTGCAGAAGTGCCTCTAGTGGCTTGAAGTAACGTCCAATTAGTTTGAACTTTTCCAATATTACATGTTGGTGGAATTTAACTTTTGGAGATTAAAATGGAGCGGTGTGTAGTGTCTCTAACTGCCTTAGTGTGTGTATAGTTTTGCGGTGTTCTAATACAGCTCTGGTAAATCCCATCTGCCGTCTAATTCAAAGGTATGACCAATTTTATTATAACACATGATCTGTTCGTTGTGCTGATTAAGTTACCATGAGATGTATAGATTGTATTTTGAGTCCATGAATCAATGTTTCTTCACTAAACAGTCATCTGCAACTCTAAATACAAAATAGCCAAGCATAATTTTTACTATTTAGTAAATTAATCTCTTATGTGGTTATTTACTAAAGCGTGATCTGCTGGCAAAGTGAATTAAAACTTAATTTAAAATTGTAAGCCCAAACCATTCGATATTAAAATCAAAAAGTAAACTCATCAGAAATTGCAACAAAACATATTAGAGGGGGGAAAAAATTATTTATTATTAAATATCTAGAACCCTTTCACTATGGCAAAAAAAAAAAAAAACAACTTCCAACAACTTTGACAGTATTAGGCAGTATGTGCAAAAGGAGAAATACCACCAATAAATAAGGGCATGACCACCTCAGAAAGTTCTGAACAGTTTGCCTCCACTCCACTTACCAAAAGCAAGAGTTTGTTCAACCAGAACCCAGTGGTCAAACCTAGAAGCTCTGAGATAGACCTGGTACTATTCCAGATGCGAGAACACAATCTAATCATTTTAAAGACGACAGTGCAGAATTCATATAGATATTTTTGGTTGTTGCTAATGCATGGCAAATACTGATTCATGCCTTACTGAAAGACTGCATTCCAGGGGGTTCTAAAGAGTTTTGTTCTACCAAACTGTCGCAATTAGAGGAAAAAATAATAATTTGAATATATTTGTTCTTAGTAATTAGAACATTTCTCCAAGATCTGCAAAGAGAGATACCCTCTATAAATGCTATTCATCACTCTTATGAGGTGATGTTAGTCCGTATCTTCGCCATCATCATCCCCCTCCAGGAAACTAAGTTTGTTTTTACGACGATAAGCGCTCCATCCATCGTTCTCCTCTTCACTTTCTTCATAGTAACCTGTTCAAAGTGGAAAAAGGTCATAGAACGTCATACATTTTGTGCAATGAACAGTTATCGGTTCCATTAAACTACCGGTGTATATAAGATTGGGATCAATCAACTGAGTACTAGAATTTTCTGAATGCTGTGGTCAGGCCTGAATTGCTGTTTGTTTAGGTACTCAAGACACACCAGTATATATATATATATATATATATATGCAAAGTCATAAGATATAGATCAGCAATGTTCGCATTAACTTTTTGATTAATGGGGTAGAAGTAAAAACAGAGGGACACCTACATATACATGCTCTATCAAGAACTCAATGTGGGGATACTAGTTACAATTTGGGTAATAAGATGCACATAGTCTACAATCTTAGTACCAGAAATAGCAAAAGGAGACATTCCTATAAAAGTACAGTAACAAGCTTTTTTCAAATGTGGAGAATGATGGATCTAGAAATAATTTTGTGTGTCTCATTGGCTAAAATCATGCACACTTTGTATGAAATGGACAGTTCTCGCAACTTTTATTTTACATTGGAAATAGGGGTAATGTCCCAAGGCACAAGAAGTGTCAATGTTTCATTTGTTTTCGTGGGTGTGGCGTCACACAGGGAAATTAAGAAAGGAGGGGATCTTTGGGGAGGGGGGCAGAAGGTATAAGGAAGCAGAATCACTTAGTCATCTCTCCCCTCTCAACATCTCCAATTTAAATCTGGACCATGGTCCGGTGTGACGCCAAGTTGCTGAAACAAGAATGCATTTCCCAACAGGGACAAAGCTGGTACAAGTGAGAACTGGAATTACTCTACAAACAGATGATAGACATATCATGGTTGCATTCAGATTGCACACAGCGTAGATTTCTGTTGAGTGAATGACTGTTTTTAAAAAAAATGGCAGAGCCACAGACCATGGATAAACTTAATGTATCAACTGAGATGTCAAATTGAAGAATTATCAGTCGGCTAGGTTTTCATGGGGGTTATTTTTGGCCTAAAAGTATAAATTCATGCTAACTTACACTTTGGTGAGTAACCCTAAGAGAGCAAATCTCTCAATTACCTTGATATCTCTCTTCCTGGTCGCTGTCCTCTTCATCGGGATAGTCATTCCTCCAGTTACTCTCTTCATTTTCATCGTCTTCATCCTCGTAAATCTCTTCTGGTTCAATATCATCAGCAACCTGCAATGAATATGAGTGAATACCGAGTGGTACTACAGAGACTTAGTTGGAAAGGGACATGCTATGTACACGCACAGCGGTATGTTGTAAACATAAGCCATATACTACATGGACTATAACACAGGCTCTACTGCCTGAAGGTCCAAGTGTGACACTTCACCTCCAAGAGGCAACAACTCTTAAAATGCATCCAAAGGGAGCTGATCAGGTGAAATGCACTAATAAGCACCAGAAAAAAAAGCACAAAGAGATCGCACAGTTACAACACATTTACCAGCATGTATACTTGTGTTCTGTTGAGTCATTTCTAATCACAGATTCTAGAGGATAAAACATATATACACAGTGCTGTTACATTGGCCAACAGCATTAAGAACTGTGCCTGGAAAGCTGCTACAGCTCTACTAAGGAAGCAGGCAAATTCAGAGAATGTTAGCTCAAAGCAGTAATATTCTAATCTAGAACGGAGGGTGTACCATCTATCACTTTAAATAAAATCATAAGCAAGGTGAAAATACAAAAATAGACATTTCCCAAAAATGCCTGGAAAATTTGAAAATAGAAAATAATTATGGACGCAATAAAAAGCTAAAAATATAGCACTGTGTTATAGAATTGTAAAAATCAATAAAAAAATAACAGAATATATGACCAGCTACAATGTATCAAAGCTAATATAGTTAAAGGGACACTACAGTCACCAAAACAACTTTAGCTTAATGAAGCTGTTTTAGTGTATGGATCATGATCCTGCAGTCTCACTGCTCAATTCTCTGCAATTTAGGAGTTAATCCCATCTGTCTCTGTCCATGCAGCCTTAGCCACACCCCCCTTGGCTGTGACTCACACACCATGCATAAAAAAAATAAATGGTTTCACTTTCAATTAGATGTAACTTACTTTAAAAGTTCTTATTGCCTGCTCTCTAAAGTGAACTTTAATCATACACAGGAGGCTTCTGTGGGGTCTAGCAAGCTATCAACAGTGCAGGGGATAATACATTTTAAATTAAATAGAATTTGCAATGAAGGAAGGATAAACATTAGCTGACTCTTTACAGGAAGTGTTTAGGAAGGCTGTGCAAGTCACATGCAGGGAGGTGATTTAACGCCTATATGGCAGATAATTGACACTGCAGGGAAATGATCTATACACCAAAACTGCTTCAATAAGCTAAAGTTGTTTTGGTGACTATAGTGTCCCTTTAACATATAGAGATAACCATTTCTTGCAGAAGCCAAACAGTACAGAGCATGAGTCAACACCCCTACCCCTATATAAAAGTATGCTACATTATTATTGGAGTGCACATCCATAATTATTTTCGATAGATCAGATGCTTTCCATGTAGTTTTTCCTCTAGGGTAGATCTTATAATACACGCTTTACTTTATGCTATTATTAGTGGTAAATAGTATTTAATGGATTAGTATGGATGCTGAACACTGCTCCCAAGTTACCGTATATACTCGAGTATAAGCCGACCCGAATATAAGCCGAGGCCCCTAATTTTACCCAAAAAAACTGGGAAAACGTATTGACTCGAGTATAAGACTAGGGTGGGAAATGCAGCAGCTACTGGTAAATTTCTAAATAAAATTAGATCCTAAAAAAATTATATTAATTGAATATTTATTTACAGTGTGTGTGTATGAGTGCAGCGTGTGTGTATGAGTGCAGCGTTTGTGAGCGCAGTGTTTGTGTATGAGCGCAGTGTTTGTGTATGAGCGCAGTGTGTATGAGCGCAGTGTGTATGAGCGCAGTGTGTATGAGTGCAGTGTTTGTATAAATGCAGTGTGTGTATAAATGCAGTGTGTGTATATATGAGTGTGCAGTGTGTGTATATATGAGTGTGCAGTGTGTGTGATGCAGTGTGTGTTTGTGTTGCAGAGCCTTGGTGGGGGGTGGGCATTTTTATTAAAAAAAAATTATTATTATTTTAATTTTTTTTGTTATATATTTTTTTAATTATTTTTTTATTATTATTTTTATTATTTATATATTATAAATGTATTCATTATTATTTTCATTTATATATTATTAATTTATTTATTTTTTGTCCCCCCTCCCTGCTTGATACATGGCAGGGAGGGGGGCTCTCCTTCCCTGGTGGTCCAGTGGCATTGGCAGTTCAGTGGGGGGAGGAGGGGGCTGGCAGAGCTGTTACTTACCTCTCCTGCAGCTCCTGTCAGCTCTCTCCTCCTCCGCGCCGGTCCGTGCAGCTCTTCTCTCAGCTCACACTGTAAGTCTCGCGAGAGCCGCACTATGACCCCGCGGCTCTCGCGAGACTTACACTGGGAGCTGACCGAGGTGCTGACCGGACCGGCGCGGAGGAGGAGAGAGCTGACAGGAGCTGCCGGAGAGGTAAGCGCTCGCTGCCAGCCCCCAGTCTGTATTATGGCAATGTAAATTGCCATAATACAGACAGTGACTCGAGTATAAGCCGAGTTGGGGTTTTTCAGCACAAAAAATGTGCTGAAAAACTCGGCTTATACTCGAGTATATACGGCAAGTTGTATTTTTTTTTTTTTTTACATTTATTTTATAATGCCATTCCGTCTCTACTGGTCCAGTAATTGTGAAGTTGAGTGCTTGACCAATTTTAATTCTCCTAATTGTTTTGAGTTAGTACCTCTAAATATTAATACAGCAAATCCAGCATTTTTTTAAAATGTTTTTTTTTTTTTTTATTTACTTTTTTGTGTTTTGCTTACCACATTTTAGTATTTCTACAAATTGACAATAGTTGAAAACAAAAGCTTAGGGTATACACTATTACCAGTTCTTGCTCCTGAGTGTACGGCTGGACAGAAAGGATGTCCTGGATCCAGTTGTGAGGAGAGGCCTCGGCATAATAAATGTCATACACAAACTCCTCGTTGTTCTCCCGATGCTCCAGGCCTTGGTCGGATACAGTAAGCTTCTCCCTGATCATCCTCATAGAGTTACATATGATGGTTTCCGGATCGCTGTCCTGCTGGAAAAATAAACCAGTAAGTCATTCACTAGTTGGCTTCATCTGAAATTAGTCGCAAATACTTCTTTTCAATGACAGATCAATGTGTGGTACAAGCTCTGGCACTCACAGGGTTAAAGGGCCACTAGGATAACTGTATCACACTAATTTTCATTACATCAGTGCTAACCGTAACATAATAGAACCGGATTCCCAATCCCAAATGTTGAATGTGATCTTTTACCCATAATGTGACATATCATTCCATACCCTTTATCCTATACAGAATGAGCATTAATTCTTATAAGGAAAAAACAAAAGTAATCAAATACTGTGTTAAATGACATGAGCATTAAAGGAACACTATAGGCACCAGACCACTTCATCTCAATGACGTAGTCCATGTGCAGTGTCCCTGTTCATTAACCCGGCAATGTAAAACATTGCAGTTTTTGAGAAACCACAGTGTTTAGACAGCTTCTAGTGGCTCTTCGTGCAGGTTCACACAGTTTGACTTTGTGAAATGACACTGGATGGGATGTCCTCATGTTTTGCATGAGGACGTCCAAAGTGTTGAAAATCGCCATAGGAAAGCCCATATGGGGAAAGCCTAATGTGCGTGCAACGCATATGCATTGGTCCCCCTCAATCAGCTGATGTTGGCGGAGGAGGATCCCTACCTAGTGCTGAGGGATCAGCAGGGGCAGAGAGTTTCTATAGTGTTATGAATACAGCTCCGTATTATTAACACTATAGTGTTCCTTTAAATATTGTTTTGTTTTTTTATCTTCTCATTCTGCCTATATGCTGTGCTCTATTTCTAATGTTTAATATTTTCACAATATGGTTGTTTGTAGGGATTATTTTAAATCCTGCTAATTTCTTGCTCTGTGGCACACAGATGAGATTTGTCTTCCTAGCTATGCAGCGTCATTGATGACGGAGGTCAATCATCAAACAAGTTAATTACTAAAGTGAATTTCAGATTGTATGCTCAAAAGAGTCAAAATGGAAATGCTTTCAGTTTAGTTACTGTGGCCTTTAATTTGAAATGTCATTATAATAAATAATCCTGGTTGTAAATAATGCAAAGAGGATCCGAGACCCTGCCCTTATCCACCTGTCCCCACAGATGTGGATGGGAAGAGAATTGTGAGGCCGGGGGATGCCTGGCTTACGCACTTGGAGTTAAACATTAAATCTGATTGAGCCTCCAGGAAAAAGGGCCACGAGAGAATAGCCCCTATACTTAAACAACAATAATTGACAATGGGTAGATTTGAAGAAAACCAAAGCAAAAACAGAACAAGGAGAGTAAGATTATTACACATATTGCATGTGGCAACTATCACAGATTAGGAAAGTGTTTTAAAATCACCCACTTAAATTATCACTATATGAATACACACTATGCATCCAGGAAATGTCCACCTATGCATGTATGTATATTGTTATACGCAACCCACGACCGGGTTGCTGGGCAGACAAACAAACCTTTAACTCCTCGGATGCTGTTTCTGGTTCCTCTTGGACCATATCAAACAACTGGAAGTTGCCGTTGGTCTCTGTATGTCCTGTCGCACAAACTGAAGCTTCCGTGCTTGTTTGAGTGCTTAACAGGGGACTGTCAGGACTGGTAGGTTGGTCTGATTCATCTGAAAATACTTCTGCCTCTGTAAGTGTGGGCCTGAGACTTGAGACTACTCGGTATCTGCTGTTCTGACGTTTAACGTGCTTCCACGTCCGTAGCTCTTCGTGGATTCTCTGCTTGCTTCCACTGGAAGGGTGCAAGGCTTGACAGGCACGGTCACGGGAAAGTGCTTCATTGATGTACTTTTGGAGGGGCTCATTCTGATAAAAATAGACAAGAATCAATTTAGAGCTTATCTCAATACGAATTTAAAAACTGTATTAAATAAAATTCAATAAAACATCAATACAATGAAAAAAACAACAAGCGTCTATTTAAACAGAGGTCAATATGCATTCAGATGTTTTTTCTATTAAAATTTAAGAGTGCAAATACAGTGGAATACCCCCAAATCTGTCTGCATCTGATGAACTGCTATTAAATGGGTCCTCTGAATACCACCACCACAGCTCATTGAATTTTTTAGCATGTAAAGAGTCTAGGGGTCATTCCCTCCTGGATTGTCAACTTATTTATTAGCCAAGAGTCAGGCACGACTATTTGTTACTTAGAATATCCTCCATGAAGTCACTAACCTCTAGATGCATAAGGAGATCCAGTGACGTGATTGCTTGGGATCTACATTCTAATTCAAACATTAATGTCAAATTTGGCCTGATTGTTCCATGAATCCGTGTACAACAGTTTGTCAACTGTGTTCCAAGCTTTTTGGTACTTTGTTTACTGCAATTTCAAAACTGCAATATGGATGCAAGAGCACGGTTTGTAGGGATTCTCAAGTTCAAAGCATGTACTTTTGCGCATGTAATTAAATTGTACCACAGTCGGAGAGTATTTTATCAATGCATTTTATCTTTATAAAATATTCAGAAGTGATATTGTGCTGATGAGGCAGGTTTGACGAAGCCGTAATGAGATAAAGATAGGCCTAAATTGATTTATTATCAGCATTTAGAAAGCTCCAACATATTCTGCAGCGCTGTACAATTTGGGAAAAATACAGTACAATATTCACAGTCCAATACAAAAGGTAGATCGGCTCTGACCCTACACTGAGATAGGGGCTTTAACTAAACCCATTAGAATTTAGTTGTGTCGCCTACATTGACTGGAGATTTAGTCAACTGAAAAAAAAAACAATTCAAATGACTAAAATATGACTAAAACCAAAGTGGCTTTTTAGTCAAAAGACTATCACTAAAACTAAATTTCCACCAAAATTAACACTGGTGGCAGGTAGAGGCTGTGAAAACATATGCATACCTCCCAACATTGAACCCAGGTGACCAGACCAGGAATGCACTTACATTACACTTTGTGTAGTTCTGAATAATGAGTACATCTCCTTGATGTCCTCAGAGGTTGGGAGGTATGCGTATAGCATCTTAAAGCAATATGCCAAGCACCACAACCACTACAGCATACTATAGTGATTATCGTGCCAGGATTCCCCTGGCACCCCCCTTCCCGACCCCCATTGTAAGTAGAGAAACCACTTGATAATTGATTGACTTCTAAACTGAAAACACCTGCTCCTGTGTACGAGTGTCTGCTAGTTCTACTCAGCTAAGCCCTGCAGTACCCTGCTAGCTCGCTGGCTGAGAATGTCAGTCCAGTGTTTAGATGCTTTCCTATGGACGCTGGCGTCTTCTCACGGTGAAAATCACAGTGAGAAGCGGGTTAGTGCCTCTAGCGGATGTCAATGAGACAGCAACTAGAGGCTGGATTAACCCTCAGTGTGAACGTAGCAGTATTACAGCAGGCAGGGTTAACCCTAGCTGGGCCTGGCACCCAGACCATTTCATTGTGCCTATAGTGTCCCTTTAAGTCATAGTAAATTACGCACAGTAGTGACATGAGGCAGAGCAAGTCACTGAAGTGGTTATGGTGGTTGCAGTGACCATGCTTTGTACAGCGCTGCAGCCTGTGTTGGCGCTATATAAGTGACGGTGTGATTGCGGCCAGTCCCCAGTGCCCGGGTCCCAGGGCAGCACGTGGTTCCCAGCCCGGGGCTTGCCTGCGAGCTGACGGTGGCAGCGAGTCTGAACACCTGGGTGGTGACCACCGGCCCGGGCTCTGCCGCCGCTGCCTCCTCCTGCTCCGCGCGGAGCCTCTTACAGCTGATCACCAGCGCCTCCGCCGGGTCCGCTCCGCGCTTCCTCTTCACACGCAGCACGGAGGCCTCCATGGCAACGCGCAATGCCGAGCGGCGCGGGGGGATGACGTCACGCAAGGAAGCGGGCGGGGCTGGGAGGCAGGCGTGGCCATCTTGTGTGTGGCAGAGAAATGTCGGGACATGTGCTTTGCGCAGCGGTGCATGATGGGAAGATGTCAGCCTCCACCCTGTCGGCATTGTGAGACCGGACTGAAGACTGCCCAGCGTGCCGAGATATCGGTAATAACGTGTTACACGGCCTGCTGTACGGTGTGTGGCAATACAGACCCACCCCATTCTACCCAGTGACAGTCACCCCCCCATTCTACCCAGTGACAGTCACCCCCCCATTCTACCCAGTGACAGTCACCCCCCCATTCTACCCAGTGACAGTCACCCCATTCTACCCAGTGACAATCATCACCCCATTCTACCCAGTGACAATCATCCCCCCATTCTACCCAGTGACAATCATCACCCCATTCTACCCAGTGACAATCATCACCCCATTCTACCCAGTGACAATCACCACCCCATTCTACCAGTGACCCCATACCCAGTGACAATCATCACCCCATTCTACCCAGTGACAGTCACCCCCATTCTACAGTGACAATCATCACCCCATTCTACCCAGTGACAATCCACACCCCATTCTACCCAGTGACAGCCCCCCATTCTACCCAGTGACCACCCCCATTTCACCCAGTGACAGTCAGTGACAACATTCTACCCAGTGACAATCATCACCCCATTCTACCCAGTGACAATCACCACCCCATTCTACCCAGTGACAATCATCACCCCATTCTACCCAGTGACAATCATCTCCCCATTCTACCCAGTGACAATCATCTCCCCATTCTACCCAGTGACAATCATCACCCCATTCTACCCAGTGACAGTCACCCCCCCATTCTACCCAGTGACAATCATCACCCTATTCTACCCAGTGACCATCACCCCATTCTACCCAGTGCCAATCTCCCCATTCTACCCAGTGACAATCATCACCCCATTCTACCCAGTGACAATCATCTCCCCATTCTACCCAGTGACAGTCACCCCCCCATTCTACCCAGTGACAATCATCACCCCATTTTACCCAGTGACAATCATCTCCCCATTCTACCCAGTGCCAATCATCACCCCATTCTACCCAGTGACAATCATCACCCCATTCTACCCAGTGCCAATCATCACCCCATTCTACCCAGTGACAATCTCCCCATTCTACCCAGTGACAATCATCTCCCCATTCTACCCAGTGACAATCATCTCCCCATTCTCCCCAGTGACAATCATCTCCCCATTCTACCCAGTGACAATCACCACCCCATTCTACCCAGTGACAATCATCACCCCATTCTACCCAGTGACAATCACCACCCCATTCTACCCAGTGACAATCATCACCCCATTCTACCCAGTGACAATCATCACCCCATTCTACCCAGTGACAATCACCACCCCATTCTACCCAGTGACAATCATCACCCCATTCTACCCAGTGACAATCATCTCCCCATTCTACCCAGTGACAATCATCTCCCCATTCTACCCAGTGACAATCATCACCCCATTCTACCCAGTGACAATCATCTCCCCATTCTACCCAGTGACCATCAATCATCACCCCATTCTACCCAGTGACAATCATCTCCCCATTCTACCCAGTGACAATCACCCCATTCTACCCAGTGACCATCACCACCCCATTCTACCCAGTGACCATCATCACCCCATTCTACCCAGTGACCATCACCACCCCATTCTACCCAGTGACAATCACCCCATTCTACCCAGTGACAATCACCCCATTCTACCCAGTGACAATCACCACCCCATTCTACCCAGTGACAATCATCACCCCATTCTACCCAGTGATAATCATCTCCCCATTCTACCCAGTGACAATCATCACCCCATTCTACCCAGTGACAATCACCACCCCATTCTACCCAGTGACAATCACCCCATTTTACCTTAATAATGTCACACCTTTAATATTAATACATCTATACACACAGCTATACACACGGACAGTCATACACCTATATACACAGCCATACACAGACAGACAGCCATACACACAGCTATACACACAGACAGCCATACACACAGCTATACACACACACAGCCATACACAGACAGACAGACAGACAGCCATACACACAGCTGTACACACACACACAGCCATACACAGACAGACAGACAGCCATACACACAGCTGTACACACACACAGCCATACACAGACAGACAGACAGCCATACACACAGCTATACACACACACAGCCATACACAGACAGACAGACAGCCATACACACAGCTATACACACACACAGCTATACACAGCCATACACCTATACAGACAGACAGACAGACAGCCATACACACACCTTTACACACACACAGCTATACACCTATACACACAGCCATACACACAGCTATACACACAGACAGCCATACACCTATACACACACACAGCCATACACACACACAGCCATACACCTATACACACACACAGCCACACAGCCATACACCTATACACACAGCCATACTCAGACAGACAGCCATACACACAGCTATACACACACACAGCCATACACCTATACACACAGCCTTACACAGACAGCTATACACACAACAATACACAGACAGACAGCTATACACACAGCAATACACAGACAGACAGCCATACACACAGCTATACACACAGACAGCCATACACCTATACACACACAGACAGCCATACACCTATACACACACAGACAGCCATACAACTATACACACACAGACAGCCATACACCTATACACACACAGACAGCCATACACCTATACACACACAGACAGCCATACACCTATACACACACACACAGCCATACACCTATACACACACACACAGCCATACACCTATACACACAGCCATACACCTATACACACAGCCATACACCTACACACATACACCTACACACACAGCCATACACCTACACACAGCCATACACCTACACACACAGCCATACACCTACACACATACACAGCCATACACCTATACACACACAGCCATACACCTATACACACACAGCCATACACCTACACACACATACACCTACACACAGCCATACACCTACACACACACACACACACAATATACACCTACACACACACACAGCCATACACCTATACACACACAGCCATACACACATACACAGCCATACACCTACACACATACACAGCCATACACCTACACACATACACAGCCATACACCTACACACATACACCTACACACATACACCTACACACATACACATACACAGCCATACACCTACACAGCCATACACCTACACAGCCATACACCTACACAGCCATACACCTACACACCCATACACCTACACACACACACAGCCATACACCTACACACACACACAGCCATACACCTACACACACACACAGCCATACACCTACACACACACCCATACACCTTTACACACTGCCATACACCTATACACACACAGCCATACACCTATACACACACAGCCATACACCTATACACACACAGCCATACACCTATACACACACAGCCATACACACACCTATACACACACACACAGCCATACACCTATACACACACACAGCCCTACACACACCTATACACACACACACAGCCATACATACACACACAGCCATACACCTATACACACACACAGCCATACACCTATACACACACACAGCCATACACACACATACAGCCATACACACACACAGCCATACACCCATACGCACACACACAGCCATACACCTATACACACAGCCATACACCTATACACACAGCTATACACCTATACACACAGCCCTATACACACACACAGCCATACACCTATACACACACAGCCATACACCTATACACACACACAGCCAGCCATACACCTATACACACACAGCCAGCCATACACCTATACACACAGCCAGCCATACACCTATACACACAGCCAGCCATACACACAGACTGGGTTGGTTTCTTACTTAGTGGGGCTGCTGGGCAGGCAGGTAGGGGGGTGGACAGGCCGTGAGGGAGCTCGGAGTGTAAGCTCTCCCTGCCCAGGTCCCTCGAGCGCCGCAGTGATGCCGGGAGCTGGAGTGACGCCATATTTCGGCTCCCGAATCACTGCGGGGAGCTGTGTGCTCCATCACCGCCCGCATAAATATTAGTTGTGGGCCTCATGCAGCCCATGGGCCGTGAGTTTGACATGGCTGGTGTAACCAATCAGGGCAGCTCATGCATACATACATACATGTTTTGCTAGTGGCTGGTAAGCAACATTTTTGTGAGGTAAAACGTTATTTTAAAAAAGCTAGTGTCAGAGTGGTCTCTGTTTGAGAGAATAGAAACATAGAATGTGACGGCAGATAAGAACCATTTGGCCCATCTAGTCTGCCCAATTTTCTAAATACTTTCATTAGTCCCTGGCCTTATCTTATAGTTAGGATAGCCTTATGCCTATCCCACGCATGCTAAAACTCCTTTACTGTGTTAACCTCTACCACTTCAACTGGAAGGCTATTCCATGCATCCACTACCCTCTCAGTAAAGTAATACTTCCTGATATTATTTTTAAACCTTTGTCCCTCTAATTTAAGACTATGTCCTCTAAATGTTTCTATCATATTCCCCCCTGTCTCGTCTTTCCTCCAAGCTATACATGTTAAGATACAGTAGTACAGACTGACCTGCTATCGCCTGCACACTGATAGGGAGTTTCATATACATTACAGAGGTAGCTTTACTTTTTTTTTTTTTTTCTTCTTTTTTTATTTTACTTCTTTCATGAAGTCCTGCAGCACAGCACTGATTTATGGGATGAAACAGAACTTCCTGTGGAATAAAGTGCCGTTCTGGGAATAAGCTGAGCCATAAGATTTTCCTTTGTAAGTACTATTCATTCTATTTGCAAATGCAGTGATCAGCCACAACATTAAAACCACTAACAAGTGTAACCATTCTATCGTTACAATGGCACCTGTCAAGGGGTTGTAAATACTAGGCAGCAAGTGAACAGTCAGTTCTTAAATTTCATGTATTAATAGCAGGAAAAATAGGCAAGTGTAATGATCTGAATGACTTTGACAAGGGCCAATTAGTGATAGCTAGACGACTCATCCCAGTCCCCCTTCTATTGAACCCTTGCCCCTGTGTAAACAAAAAACAACAAACAAGTAGTGTCCGGAGTCCGGCCCTGGCATACCCCCAATGGCCCCATCCGCACCTTAAAAAAGCAGATTCTCCTGTTACTCCTTGAAACCCTCAGACACACTCACTGAGACACACTCACTGAGACACACTCACTGAGACACACTCACTGAGACACACTCACACACAGAATCACTCCGACATACACTGACACACACACACACAGACAGCCAAACACACATGCAGACAGCCATACACACAGCCAGCTATACACCCACGCTCATGGAGACGCTGAATTTTCCTCATAGAGATGCATTGATTCAATGTATTTCTATGAGGAGGTCCTGATTGGCCAAAATGGGATTTGGCCCTGCACTGTGATGATTTCAGCCAATCCAATGCTTTCCCTATGGAAAAGAATTGGAATCGGCCATTTTGATGTCACAAAGGGGGCGGACCCGCGGTGCTAGAATAAGGTGAGATTTAAACTTTTAGAGGGGGGGGGGTAAGCCACCTAAATGATGGGTTAAACACAATAGGGTCAGGAATACATGTTTGCGTTCCTGACCCTATAGTGTTCCTTTAAGGTGTTGCCTTGGTTTCCAAATTCCCCACATCTCAATCCGATTGAACATATGTTGTATTTGCTGGAACAACAAATCTGATCCATGAAAGCCCCACCTGGCAACGTGGGAGATCTTGAAGGATCTGTAGATACCACAGGACGTGTTCAGGTCTTGTGTCCATGGCTCGACTCATTAGAACTGTTTTGGCAGCGTGAGGGGACCTGCACGATATTAGACAGGTGATATTAATGTTGTGGCTGATCAGTGTATAACATTTAGCATGCAGCATTAGCTGCCTGTGTTAATCACTCTTCTGTTCTGTCCTTTGTGAATGGTACATACTTCTGCGTGGTACATCTCCTAGTTCTATGGATTTTGCTCTTTTTTTTTTTCTTCTGGAGGCATGGGCCTGCATCTAAATCTTTCAATATTTGTTATTTCCACAGGTTACCACTGAGGTATATATTTATTGACATGAAGGTTTTTTGTAGTCGAGTAAACCCCACCACTGGGGCTGTTGATTGGGTGGAAGAAGATGAACATTATGACTACCATCAGGAGATTGCCAGGTTAGTGCTGGCTGGGAACTATATCTTAGAACGTGGCTAAGCATCATGTGTATTATACTGAATGACTTCCTTCTGCATGAATTTAATTTATTTTGGGAACCTATTGCCCGCGTGCATGTGCACGTGCACATTCGGTCTTCTCCATAGGAAAACATTGACTTAATGGGCTTTAAGAAGACACTGGGCGTCCTCATGCAAAGGCCAGGAAGTGCCTTCAGTGGCTGGCTGGTTGACAACCACAATAGGATATTTCCACCCTGCAATGTTTGCAGCTGCAGGACTAAGAGGACAGGGACAGTGCACCCAGGCCACTTCAAGGAGTGTCCTTTTAATGAAGCGGTTTTAGTGTATAGAACATGCCCCTGCAGTCTCACTGCTCTATACTCCGCCATTTAGGAGTTAAATAACTTTTGCTTCTGTTTATGCAGCCCTGACCACACCTCCTCTGGCTGTGACTGACCACAGCCTGCATGAAACAAATTGGTTTAATTTTCATTTAGATGTGACATCGCAGTGTGTTTACTTCAGAAGTTTTTATTTCCTACTCTGTTAATTAAACTTTAATCATACACAAGAGGCTCCTGCAGGATCTAGCAAGCTATTAACAGAGCAGGAGATTAGAAATTCTAAATTAAACAGACTGTGCAATAAAGGAAGTATAAACATTAAATCTCATTTTGGGAGGCTGTGTAAGTCACAGCCAGGGGAAGTGTGACTAGGATTGCATAAGCAAAGTGTTTTGATTCCTAAATGGAAGAGAACTGAGCAGTGAGTCAACAGAAGCATTATCTATATACCCAAACCACCTTATTGTTCATAAAAAGTTTATTTTTATTTTTTAATTTTTTTTGGTGCTTATGTTATCCTTTTAATCTTACTTCTCATCTTATACCTGCTCTTGTAGAATGCGTCTGAACAGTTTTTATATTTTTTATTAAGGAAATGTTTTTGTTTGTTTTTTAGATCATCATATGCTGACATGCTACATGATAAAGACCGGGTACGTGTAAACGAACTGATTTTTTTATTATTATTTTTTTTTTAAATAAACTTCTAGAAATTTGTGTTAATACCACCCAGTGTGGAGAACACACACATTATAGCATGCTTCCTTTTTGTAATCTATATGGGCTCTTCATATCTACATACTATCTACATTCTGCTAAGGTTGCTCTCTTCTCCAACAGAACCAGAAATACTATCAGGGGATCCGTTTAGCAGTACAGAGAGTAAAGGAACGAGGTGAAGAAGCCATTGTTCTAGATATTGGAACAGGCACTGGTCTTCTATCAATGATGGCTTTAACAGCCGGCGCAGATTTCTGCTATGCCATTGAGGTGAGAAAAGCCTTCCTGGTCAGATGCTTAGACTTACCATTCTGTTCCTGAAGTGGAAAAATAAAATTTGACGCACAAGATCAAAAGGATTTTTGTCATGGTGCCTGGGATTTGTTGGCCCATTTAGACCCTGAGGTGGTCAGCTGTCTATAAGTGCAGGCGGCCGGCCGACTCATAAAGAGCATGGGCCTACATGCGGTTGGTCGGTCAGCTCAGGTAGAGCATGGGCATTCAGTCTGTCGGCCTGCTGAGGGAGAGCATTGCTGTGCGTGCGGGGGCGACCAGCCTGCCAGCCAGCTGAGGGAGATGGTGGGTGGGCGTGCACACGGATGGGAGGATCCTGGAAGATTGAGCTGTAACCTGCCTGCTCTGCTCCCTTGTACGCATCGGCCTCCCTGCTCTGCTCCCTTGCATGCATTGAACATCGGCCCCGGCATCACTAAACAGCGTTATAGAAGCTGAGCTGAGTGTGTGTGTCTGTTAGTGAGTGCATGCGTTTGTCAGTGAGTGAGTGTGTTTAGGTGACCGGTTCCCCTCCATTCACAAAGGAAAGGGATTTTTACTCTCCTTTTTCCCCCACGCTGTGCTGGTCTCGCATCAGTCTTGATTATCTCAGGCAAGCCAATGCTTTCAATAGGAAATCAGCATCTCCTCAAAGAGATGAATTGAATCAATGCATTTCTATGGGGAACGTTTAGAGCCTCCATGCACAGCATGGAGACGCTTAACGTAGGTGCTGCGCACTGTACAGCACTGACCCAGGATGCACTCTAGGTGCCGTCTGAGTTGACTGTCACTAGAAGTGTTACTAAGCAACAATGTAAATACTGCCTTTCTGAAAAGGCGTGGTTTACATTAGAAAGTGTGCAGGGACAGGTTATAAATACAAGCACAACTACATTAAGCTGTAGTGGTTCTGGTGACTATAGCGTCCCTTTAAGAATTGTATATTTTACATTAAAAGGCCGGCTCCTAGATTCCAAGCAAATTTGTCACGCCCTGTTTTAACCCTTTCACCCCCAGAACCAAGTTGTGTGCACACTTGGAGTAGGGTGCGTTTGTGACCATGAGTTACTAATTTTTCCAAAGGGGGGGCGTTAATGGGCCTGACTCTAAAAAATTAACACTCTATCATAATAAATAAATATATTTATTTATACCTTTTAGTGTTCTTTTAATGGAGCATTATTTTTTTTATTTGTTAGGTTTTCAGTTGCATCACAGATTAATGATTCTAAGCCATGGGTGTTTAAAAGGTAGATCTTCAGATGTTGTACAACTACAACTCCCTTGATGCTTTGCATACCTTTTGAATGAGAAAGAATCATGGAAGCTGTAGTTTTAAAACATCTGGAGACCTACCTTTTGGGCACCCCTGTGCTAGGCCAATGGTAGACAAGCTTTGACTGTAAGAGGATTATAGGAAATGTAGTCCACAACATCTAGAAGTCCAAACATTGTCTACCCCTGTTCTATGCAGTCAAGGGCATTGATGGTGCTAAAGGTGGCAGATGCATCCTGTCTAAAGTAGTTTAAAACAACGTATAACTGGTATAGAGCCCTTTTTCATTCATAAACTGAAAGCTGGTTATAAAATCCAGTCCTTGGTACATCAACAGTCCTTGTTATCCAAGGGGACAATTTGCTAATGTTTTGTTACTGTTTGCACCTAACATTTGTGACCTTTGCAGGTTCCTCAGCCTTTCTGTATTTCCTTACTAGGTTTTCAAGCCAATGGCAGAGGCTGCAGTAAGGATTGTTCAGACCAATGGCTTCAGGGACAAGATAAAAGTCATCAATAAGCATTCTACCGAGGTGACCGTGGGGCCAGGTGAGAATAATAGGAAGAGTTCATGCAGGAAATGTGAGCTTTATGGTGACACTTTTAAGATTCTGCGTTTGGTCTTCTCAAGCAGGAGACATTGGATAATGATGTATGCATTCATTCATTGGCTCACTGCATCCACTGAGAGCTCTCACACAATAAATGCTTTAAGTGAGTTCCTATGTCAAACACAATTTACACATAGCTTCTACAGTTCGAGAAGGCTGGAAGTGGGACGGGAGCCCAACCAGACTCGGTAAAACTGTCCGATTGTGCTAAATCGTTTTGACAAATTGTGCTGTGAAGGCTCCAGGACACTTCTGGCACCATAACCACTACATCTTGGTGTAATCTTTATAATGCTTGGAGTGTCCTTTTAAATCAACCTTGTATCAGCCCTATGGAATGATCCTGTATTATTACCTGTATATTAATTTAGCCTAAACTATAAGATTGTAGGAATGAATACTATATTGCTTCAACTGTGTATGAATGAATACTATATTGATTTTATTTCTCATGGTTGAAATGTGACTCTCATTATACTCCTCAAGCTAAAGTCTTTAAAGCTGTTACAGCCAGGCATCCTAAGGTCTGGTTATATGCCTCCTATCATTATTATATCTGTTTTACCTTTGATACGAAACTGACGTACACTTTGTGTGCTGGATTCAATAGTATTCTGACATTTAGATAGATGTTCCCAGATCAACAAAGTATGTATCGTAGCTAGTAAATTGCATGGTTCTCTATGGTTTGTATCTTGCAGATGGAGACATGAAACACAAAGCCAACATCCTCATCACTGAGCTGTTTGATACAGAGCTTATTGGAGAAGGAGCTTTGCCAAGCTACGAACATGCGCAGCATAATCTCATGCAGGTATGTGGAAAGGTCGCTATCACTCTCAACTCCCAGCTGTTATGTGGTTCTCTTAGCTACTCATTTAAATGAGCCTTGACCAATGCTTGTCTTTGTTTATTTTGCCTGTAAACAAAGACAGAGCAGCACTGAGTAAAGACCAAACTCAAGGTGGCATAATGCAGTCAGCATTTCGACTAGCATCTGAACTGGAACCACAATTCAAATCATGGGGACTGGATTGGATGGGACGGAATTAGAACATTATTTAATGTCTGCTTTAAGTTTTGATACAGGCAAATTGGTTCTAGTGGGATTGTGGTTGGACAGAGAGTGCATGTAGTATAATTGAAAATCCAAAGAAGTAGGCAATCCGTAAATGGACATACAGGGCAGGTTGAGGTAGTCACTATGAGATCTATAGATAAGAGCACGAGTGAGGAGTACAGCGAACATTTTGGACACCTCAAACAGTAGAGAATACCTTTCGTCCACCAGGAGGCTGGTGGATGAAGGGCAAGAAAAGAACAAACAAAATGTAAAAAAGGCCACAGATTCGGCGAAAGGGTAGGGCACTTACTGAATATTTTTTATTTTTGTAATTCTTTATTTATTCGTGCATGCAGGGTACAAATAGGCCAGCAATGCCCCAACAGCTGTTGCTAGCTTTACATTCTCTTGTGGGTATGTGAAGAGTGTGAGTCAGTTTGGTGGTATCCACTACGGGGTCTTACCTCCTTCCCCTCGACTATGTGTGTAGTGTATTAGAGTTGGTCGTTGGTGTTGGTTCCCGGGAAGGAGGGGGGGTATGGAGTGGTGAGCGAGAGTGATTCCTGGGTTATGCGGTATGTTTGGCAGCCCTTACTAAGTGCTAGTACTTCCTCTCTTCGTATATTTATAGTGCTCATTATGAATCTGCTTGGGTGGTTGCATACTGGGTTATTAGGCTGTGTAGGTTAATTAGGGTTGCTCAACAAGCAGAGCGAAGGTAGTAGAAAATAAAGGAACGTAATAAGAGCATATAAGTATTTAAAGAAAAAGAAAACTTTTCCAACTGTGTATACCATCATCACTCCACACCATGTCTACTAAAGTCCCCTTGGGCGGTTCAACCTCCGCTCCCTCAGGTGGGTGGTCTGTTAGGTGAGACTCGTTGTTTGCCTCTCGGGGTAAATTCCGGAATGGTAGCCGGGTTTAGCCTGGACAGTCCTGTTCCCGTTGGCGGTAAGGCTCGCCAGATGCCTGTTGATTGGAGGTGCACTTCCAGCTCCTGGTAACTCTGTGCTCTGTGGGTAGTCCCATTGTGAGTAAATATGACAACTCGTGGTGTTCCCCATTTGTAGGGAATTTCTTTGGCACATAGGTGTTGCAGGAGGGGTTGTAGTGATTTCTGCCATGTGAGGGTGCTCCTGGTGAGGTATGGGAAGACTGTGATGGAGGAGCCCTCGAATGGTATAGGAGTTTTCTCTTGCAGTGCCGCCAGGAGTGAGGCTTTGTCTGAGAGGGTTTGAAATCTGAGGACGATGTTGGCTGTTGCTGATGCTGGTGCTCTAGATGGCTTCGGTAGCCGGAACATACCATTTAGCCTCAGGGATTTCACCTGCTTTGGTGGGAGCAAGCCTCCGATAAAGCACTGTATGTAGTGGGGTAGGTCGGAGATGTTGACTGAGTCCGGGATCCCCAGCCTGTCTGATGTCGTTAGTTGTTGCTGTGCCAGGTCTGCTACCTGCTGTTCCACCTTGCTGCTTCTGGTATCGTAGTTGCTCGAGCAGGCCTCCAGTTGTGAGATTTTTGTCGCGGCCCCTTCAATGGCCTCTTTATAGCAGGCCATGTCAGTCGCTAGGTCTTTGCGGAGATCCGCCAGCATCATTTTAATTTGGTCTGCAGTGAATGGGTCCCCGGCTTTCTGCGTTGCCGTCTGGTGTGGGCTCAAAAGGTGTTCCATTTAGGAGGTCCGAAGCAAACTCCTTCGAGGAGTAGGAGGTGAGGTCGTCGGCCAGCGACATCTTGGACCACGCGGCCTGTTGCGAGTTCCGCAGCATGTCTCCGATATCTCTCCCTTGGGAGCTTCTGTCTGCTTTTACTTTTTTCGTTTTGCGGCCCATGGTGGGTCTGCCAGCTGTTGTAAGGTTTGTGGGGTGTTTGTGCCCCGGAATCCCCCATAGAAAGCCTTGTTAAGGTTAGTATTTGCCGGAGCTCCGAGATATGCGACCGCTCTGTTGCCTTGCTGACTCTGCCCCCCACTTACTGAATATTTATATGTAAAAATATTTTCCGCATATATCTGTCAGTTCCTGTCCCTTCATATTGATGGCTACTGTGAAGAAAAAAACTAAAACTTATCCTGCACTTTGCCTCCTGCCAAATCCTAACAAAATATTCTTTAATTCTTAATTCTTTAATGTAAAACATTGACTGCATCATATGAGGTGTTGTTAATTTACGTACTGCTTCACTGAGAGAAACTCCTAATTTTACAATTTACATTTCAACAATGTGAGCCCTAATGTAGTTGTCGTCTTTTGTGTGTGCGTGTGACTTTCCAAGTGTATTGAATAGAGCAGTGATGGGAGTCTCTCCTGTACTAAGTGCAGTAGACTATTCTTCTCCCATGTTGCTCTACCTGCTATGCAGATTAAGGACAGAAGCTGTCTACCTTTGTATAGATGATATTCTGGATCTTGTGCTAATATATATTTACTTTTACACACAGGATCACTGGGAGGCTGTCCCTCATAGGGCCACAGTTTATGCTCAGCTTGTGGAATCTCGGAGGCTGTGGAGCTGGAACAAGCTATTCCCCCTAAAGTTGGATTCTATGGAGATCCGCCCCCCACCGGAGATGGAGAACTGCCCAGGAGCCCCCTCTGTGTGTGACGTACAACTCAGCCAGCTGAGCCTCAATGACTTCACCAAACTTACTGACAGTCTTCGCGTCTTCTGGTAAAAATGACTTCTTAATGATTAACACAGATATAGAGAATAACCAAATGTTATAGTACATTATTATTATAAATACTAATTATGCACATGCCTATTCAACCTTTAAACCCTGTCCCTGGCTAATCCTTTAAATAACCCAGTGCCTGCCCCATGCATGTTTACAACTGACAGGCTTATATTTTAAACCACTCACCTTTGACATCCTCAACAGCAATACACCAGTGGTGAGACGTATGTATTATTTATTACCGGCTTGTTTAATTATCTCTTGTGCCCAGTAAAGTGATTATTTTCTACATATGATGCATAGGCAAGTCATACATTTGGGATTAAACATGACTTTTATGTGCTTGCTGTTGTGAGATACATAAAAAGTAAATTTACATAAATTATACATGGGTGTTTTCTATTTAATTTGTAGAAGATCTTGATGCACTGTTCTGTCACCTCTTACATCAGCATCCATTTTTCTCCCCATGCAGGGTAGATTTTAGTCAGCAGGTCAGTAGCTCTACAGTGTCTCACCCTGTACATTTCGCACCCATCGCCGATGGCACTGCCCAGGTTGTCCTCTCGTGGTGGGACATTGACATGGACCCAGAAGGAACAATAACCTGCACTATGAAACCCAGTTGGACATATCCTGCTACACAACCCGCGCCTGTAAGTTCAGCACACGTTTTATTTAAAATAACTATACAACTTATTTCGATGTTCGGGCTTAGAAAATAAGTTAGAAAATAAATACACTTACTCATCTTACTATGGCCGCAACACCTACACCGGCTGAGATCAACATTACTGATGATCACAGCCAGTCCAATACTTCCCCCAAAGGGAAGCAGTGGGGGCCTAGTGGGCCTGCACAGCAATGACAGCGGGATACCAATCATTGTCTCCGCCTATAGATGAGGAGTTTTCTGCGTCTCCATGTTAAGCATATGAACCAATCACCATATCCAAGTACAATTTTTGTGTGTGTGTGTATAGCTCTGTGGATGAACCTCTTCTTTGACTCCTAGCAAGTCACGGTAGTTCCAAAGTATGACCGTGCCATTTCAATGTAATTTGCATTTCCGATAATTATTTTTAGGTTCTCACCCTTTACATTTAATGTATTTGCTGTAAATCCCTTGACTGCTTAGACCAGGAAGTTGCTCCACCAATCACGATAGCATTAAAACTGCGCCAAGTGTCTCCCATAGTTTTTAAAGGAAAACTCTAAGCACCAAAACAGCGAACAACAACTTTTGATGATAAAGTGGTTTTACTGTACAGATCGTGCCTTGGCAGTCTCACTGTTTAATTCTCTGACGTTTTTAGTTATTACTTTGTTTATGCAGCACTGGCCACACCTCCCCTGCTTGAGACTCGCACAGCCTCCCTACACTCTATCTGAAAAAGAAGTCTACTTTTTCTAACTTACCTTGTTGTACAGTGTGTTTAATTCAGATTTTATTTTCCTGCTCCGTTAGACGTGATCATGTCATTCATATATGATACTTTTCCTCAGAGTATCATAAAAAGTTGAAATTATACTTTTTATGTTTTCAGTTTATGGTTAATATTTTTCAAATGTTTGTATTATGTCATGTGCACTGAATGGCTATTTTGACAATGATTGTACATTTGCACTTGGCCACTCACTGGGTCTCATCATTGTTTGTGAGCAACCGGTTATTTTACAGACAGCACTCGCTAAACTGTTCTTAATCCTGTTCTAGTGGAGAGATCACTGGATGCAATGTGTGTATTTTCTGCCAGAGGAAAGGCCTGTGACACAACATGAAAAGCTTTGCTTAACTGCTCATCAGGACGACTACTGTGTGTGGTACACCCTAACAAAACCCAGGTAACCCCTTTAAGACTTTGTAAACCCTAAACATTCACTCCTTAACTAATATAAGGCTAGAGGCAATCAGGCATGGACATCTAGCTGCTGTTACCCCACGAAATTCACCAACAAACTTGTGACAAAGGATTGTGGGATATTTTATTCTTCAGAATTGGGTCTTCCATTTTTTACTTTTCCACCTAATTCTGTCTGTTTCTGACCGGTAGCAGTGCGGTGGAGCACAGCCAGTTGTCGATTGAACGTCCTGCATGTAGCTGCGGAGCACATATTACGTGGAACCGGTCCAGATTTGGGGAGCTGAATGACAGACAGAGAATGGGACTGTACATGCAGGCGCTAAGACAGGTGATTGCGCTATTTCATGATTTAATTTTTTTTCTCTGCATGTAACGATTTGTATGCGTGTAGAAATATTGTTATTGTTATCCAAATAAACTGTAATCTGTTTGGACCTGCCTGTGACTAAACAAACAATTGCATCATGCAAACACAAATATGGAGTCGGTTTTGCGAGGCAAATACCCTATTTGCGCCTAATTACCTTCCGTATTGTAAGTCACTTGTGCCAGCATGAGTAAAACAGTGGAAAAATACAAATCATTTTATTTATTTCACACACTTCCCATCACAGTTGCTTGTCCTTTATATGTTTATTTGGTTGTGTCTCTTTCCCTACAGGTGTTGACCCCGAGCAGCGTGTGTCTGTGCGTGAGCGATGGAAGTTTGCTCCCGTTTCTAGCGCACTCTGTTGGAGCTGCTCAGGTAATAAAGATGCTTCACAAAGGACATACAGAATTCATTTCACTATTGATAACAATTTGCATCGCCTCGGCTATCTAGATCAAACCAACTGCTACTCTTACCCATTATTATACACATAGTACCACCTCTGCTAACCCCAGTCCTCGAGACAGCCCAACAAGAATTTGTCACTAAACATTTTGGGACAGAATTAGAACACGTCTAATTCCTGGACTGTCAATGTGTCTTTATACCCATATACACCTACTCTACTATCTATGACAATCAGAACTCCTCTCCCACCACATTGACAGCTACTTGTCCCATCTGCTATCTAGCTCCCTCTGTCCTTCACTGTGACATTGTATAATCAATGCAGATTGGTAGATAACCCATAAGTGTTACAACCAAAAAGCCCAGAGTTTCAGGGAACCAAGCAATGCAATAAAAATTCTCAAACCGCACTTTTGAATAAAGAGACAGAGCCAAATAATTCTAAATAATCTTTAGTTGTTGCCGAGATAAAATACAAATCAGGTGTTTACACATCTTCGCCCCTGTAGGGACTTGCTTTGAATTTTATCGCAGAGATGCATGCATTTATTTTATATATTATTTTTGTGCTTTGGTCTTTTGTAATTGAATGCTGTCCGGAGTAAAAATTACTCTTCTTTCTCCCCCTATTTGTGCCAGAATACCATCCCTCCAACCATGAATATGGTACATAAACACATTAAAATCCCCCCCATATATCCTTTACCTGGTTAGGACCCTGTTTTCTGCTTTAGATGTTTTGCTGGTGGTAGTTGAGGACAGATACTTAAAAACACCTTGCCATGATTCCACAAAAATCCCAACTCGCCCTCCCCTCCCATAGACCGAATAATCCTTGGGTATTGCAGGATCAAAGTTTGCTGTTGTCATCCAATCATTTTTATTTTCTCTTTTTCACAGATTTACACTTTAGAATCTTCCTCCATGTCGCAGCATCTGATGGAGAAGGTGAGTTAAGAGCAGTAGGCTCTCTGTTTTTAAAAGACGCAATGGCTGCGTTTTTTCTTGGTTATGAGCTAACATGTCTAACTGTCTATTATACTGTCAATCTGTAGGAAACACTGCATATTTAAATCAGAAATTCTTCATAATATAAATCTACTTTTGAGTTTTTTTATATTTAATTTTAATTATTTCTATACGTTGAAGTATAAAATAAACTACAGAGTACCATACCCAAACCGTCCTACTTATAGCTAATTCTAGAACAATTAATATAGCACAGTGTAACATGAAACTGTATAGACAAGTAGCAACTCTTAAGTAATGTCAAACACATATCCCGAGCTACATCTGTATAAGTACTGATCAGTCAATTTTATTCAGAATACTCATATTCTAATTTCAGTGTTGGTACTCTTATCTTGGGATATGTGTTTGACATTACTTAGGAGAATATAAAATAGCGTAGCTGATCACAGTCCCTGTAATGAAAGGTGTAACGTGGCCGAACATAGGCCAATTGTAAAGCACAATGAGTAACGAAATGTTGCACATAAAGTGTTTTGGCCTTGAATTTGCTATTTCCATTCTCTAATCTTCTCAATTCCTGGTTTATTGAATAACTCCCTTAGCAGCCATCATGCACTGAATTTCCCTATGTACTTCATATTATAGTCTGCTCCGTGTGGGCTGAGGAAACATTGACATGTCTGAAGGGAATGTCCTCCATCCCAAATATTTACATGCTTTGCATTGTGGGAATCTCTGGGCATCTGCACATGTAACTGCTTCTATCAGTCCTTGAGGATGCAGAACGGATGTTCAGTTAGGTAAATCTATAAATCAATATATCTGATAGTGATTTTTCATGTGTACTGGAAGCTGATTTTGTCATACCTATATCTTGTGGGTGTCAAAATGGCTCATGCCATTGTCTCACCGTTCATAGCACTTTAGAAAATCTAGAATTCTGTTTAGAAATACATCCTTGTAATAAAGTTTTAAATAAACTGCAATAATTACCTTTTGGGGTTAACTCCACCTCTAGCAGCTGTCTACTAGACAGCCACTAGGGGACATCCGGGTGTTAATGCAACCTTTGGTCGCCTACCTGATGCTGGATTGTCCTCACGCTATGTATAAGGACATCCAGTGTCATGTAAAGCCCCATAGGAAAACATTATTCATGCTTTCCTGTTGGCGAAATACTAATGCGAGCGGAGACAAAGCCCGAACCAATGCCAAGGCGCATCGGTGCTGGAATCAGGTAAACCCCTTATGCACCATAGAGGTGGGTCCTATAGGGAGCTAAAGTGTCAAGGAAAACAACTTTGTTTTCGTGGCACTATAGTTTCCCTTTTAATAGTCTTCCATCCTGTTTTTTTATTTCTGGTGCACTCATTCTACACTAGAGGGCAAGGGTGTACACTTTTGAGTTCTTTGAGTAAAATGCGTCGGCAAAAAGCAAAGCCTATCTTCAACAAGGTTTTGGTAAGAATCATCGTACATACTGAATGTAAATGGGATTAAGACATAATAGAAAGGGACTAAATAGAATAGTGCTTGAGATTAATATTATTATTGGTATTTATATAGCGCCAATTTATTCCGCAGAGCTTTACAATATTATAAAGAGGGAAATTTAACAATAAATGAGATGACTACAAAATGTTATAGGAACAATAGTTTGATGAGAACCCTGCTCAAATGAGCTTACAGTCTAGAGCAGTGGTTCCCAACTCTGTCCTCAAGTACCCCCTTCCAGTCCACGATTTAGGGATTACCTAGTTGTGTCTAAGATGTTTTTAAAAAGAAAAAAAAAACACTTCAGACACAAAAGGGTAATCCCTAAATCCTGGACTGGAAGGGGGTAGTTGAGGGCTGGGTTGTGAACCCCTGGTCTAGAGGATTGTAGAATTGCAATCAATTATAGAGTAAAATCATGTCAATGTTTAAGGTTTATGGTTGATAGTTAGGTATCTATTAAAGGGACACTGTAGGCACTGTATCTGCTTCATCTCATTAAACTGGTTATAGTGTCTGGAGTCCTCTGGTACCATCATTTCTTTCAGCATTAAACAGTTTTTAAACTTTTAATGTTTTAATGCGAAACAAGAGTCCCCGGCAATCCATCCCCTCTGTGCTGCTTTGGCTAATAAGGAAGTAATAGCCTGAGCAGCAATAGGCAGCTGTGATTGGCTGAGAGTATCAGTTGACTGCTTTTAGCCTGTCAGAGTTCCAACTGACGGTATGAATGGGTATGACAACAAGGAAGTGTGTAATCTCTGCCTTAGCTACACATACTGAAGGGGCCGGACTGTGGGTGGCCAGGAACTCTTATTTTGTGGCATACTGCACGAACATGGTGCAACACTGAATGGAGGGATAGTGCCAGGCACTCCAGGCACTAAAACCAATCCACAGAGACGAAATGGTTATAGTGACTACAGTGTCCCTTTAAGATCACTTAATGCACCATATGCCAGTGAATGTTTAAACCTCAGTTACCAACGGTGTAATCTTTTTAATGGTGATATAATGATTACCAATGATTTATTCAATAAAAAGTCTATACTCTTGCATGTACTGTCATGTCTTAAGTGACCTTTAAAGTATGAAACTTACTTAACACTTAGACCTCGATTGAGACTTTTTTAAAGGAGAAATAGGAGTCATTCTGTTTTCCAATATTATCCTACTTTAGCAGGAATAAAATACATTACATAAAATACGCGTTGTATATAATACAGTCCTATATTAATGTTTTTTCTGTTGCAGCTTTTCCAGGCCAATCAAATTGAAAATAAAATTGGAGTTCTAAGGAAATCTGCGGATAGTCTCACAGCTGCTGACCTCCAAGACAGGAAGGTATGGCTCTAACTCCAGATTCATGTATAAAACATCTGGCAGTTTATTTTCTACATTGATTGAATCAGACAACGACTCTCTCCAGATGTTTTTGAGCCTCCCACAATGCTTTGCGTGGGATTTGCAGAGCATTATGGATGTTGTAGTCCAGAAACGCCTGGAGAGCCGTAGTTTGACAGCCACATGTCGAAGATAGCTGAATACAGTTGAAGCTGCCACGGTTCACTTCACATTCGCTTATACTAGTTACAATTCAACATGATTCTGAAATAATGTAAATTTAGTTTTTTTAAGGTTAGTTTGCATGACTGTAAATGTGAAAATGTTTACAAATTTATAATGGACTTGCCAAGACCATTACACTTTGGGTTGTGGCCAGATATGACCAAGCAAAACAGCTGTATTTTTTATTTTTTTTATTTTTTGTACTACTTAAACTTTGCAAACAAGAAAATATAGTAAAAACTACATGGCAAATATTTAAATTATTTTTTTTTTTTTTTAAAGACCGTTACAAACATTAGCAGTAATGTTTTTGGCTATGTACGCTATCAGTAGGCCTCAAGACCAGGTTCTAGACTAGTGCAGACTAATATTGAGCCTTCAGCTCTTTGTGACATATTTCCCATGATGCTCAGCCAGACTACAAGCTCTTGAACTAGAAACATAGTCAGTTCCCCTCTGACAAACTTTGTCTCTCTGTTGACTTTAGATCTCTGCTTTAATTGGAGAACCTTTCTTCACCACAAGCCTTCTGCCCTGGCACAACCTGTATTTTTGGTACTCCCGCACGGCCCTATCGGACAACCTTACTAAGGACTTCACAGTGTTTCCCCTCCATGCGTCTCTCTATGTCTTGGCCGTAGAATTCAAGGTGAGAAAACCAGTGTGACTGAAAAACACAATTTTTATGCAGCATTTAAACATTTAGCAGAAGGAATTTCTTTCCATTAAGTCGTAAGTGCAACATTAAACGTACATTTTCCATGCATCCAAGGGGCAGTCATCATCGGTGTGTTGATCATTCCTCATAGGATAGGTAGCCCTGAAAAAGTAAAGTTAAAAAAATTCAATTCTCACATCCAGACTATTCCCTTCCTAGCCTTAAAGGGTCACTATAGTCACCAGAAAGCAGATTTGGTGTGTAGATCACGCCCCAGCAGTCTTCCTGCTCAATTCCCTGCCATTTAGGAATAAAATCACTTTGTTTATGCAGCCTTAGTCACACCTTCCTGCAAGTGACTTGCACAGCCTTGCTAAACACTTCCTGTAAATCAAGAACTAATGTTTACACTTCCTTTATTGCTAATTCTGTTCAATTTAGAATTTCTTTTCTCCTGCTTTAATAGCTTGCTAGACCCTGCAGGAGCCTTCTGCATGTAATTCATGTTCAATTTATGGCAATAAAAAAACTTTAAAAAAAAATAAATATTTATTTGTAGTTGACAGTGTTACACGTATCAGTTACATAATTCGAGTAGGTGAACACATCCAGGAATTTTGTAACTGCATATGTCTTGATGCTTTAACATGTGTTAGTGAACCTACAGCGATATTGTCGCCAACTGTTTTTTGTGTGTTTTTAAGAACAGTATAGTTCTATAGTTTAGGAAGTTATTTCTCCTCCGTTGTTAGGCTTTTATACCCTTGAGATTTGTAAGGAAGCTAGTCTTTTACCCTTTATACTTATTGTGATGTTCCTATCCTTTGTGAGGAAGAGAAAATTAGTAGCAAGAAAGAACGTTAAGAATGAGTTGTCTATAGTAGACTATCATTTAGGATACGGTGCCCAAGACAGGTGCACACAGGGGTATAGGTAGGATCCCCGTGTGCACCTGTCTTGGGTCTGATTTCTCCTAGTGTGTATCATTTTCTGTGTCCTTCGGTCTGGCGGTAGTCTGTCATGTGTTTTCTGACCTAATCGGCGAAGTCACTGTTGACCCATGGCTCCCACACCTTTTCAAATTTCTTATGGGTACCTCCGACCTGTGCAGTGAGTTTGTCCATCAGGTATGTGTCTTTTTTATTGTTGTAAGGACCATGTTTAATGTGGGGACTTCTGGTTGGAGCCAGACCTGTGCTATGGCCTTTCTGGCTGCTAGGGTTAGTTTATGTAGAAGTTGTTGTTCGACTCTCAACCAGTCTTCTACAGGTCTTGACAAGAGGTATAGCCATGGATCTGGTTCCAGTTTCCTCTGGAATATTTGGGTGATTAGATCCTTCACTGCCTGCCCTAAATTTTGTATTTTAGGGCACTCCTACCACAAATGAATATATGTGCCTTTCATTCCGCAGCCCTTCCAACAGAGATATGTAGGTGATCTCTTCATGTGATAGAGCTTGACCGGTGTGGTGTACCAACGGAACAGAACCTTGTATGAATGTTTCTGCAGGGAGACACATATGGACGTTGTGGTGTTTGCTTCCCATATATTTTGCCATTCTATGCCCTCTAACAACTCCCCCAGGTCCTCCTCCCACCGGTCTATATATGTATGAGATTGCCCCACTCCTTGGTTTCTGAACTGAGCTGTGCATATATGGATGTGATCAGGCTCTTTTGGGGGGCTTCTTCCAAGCATATCTTTTCGAAAAAGGTTAATGGTTTATGTGCTGTGTCTTTTACGTGTTTTTGTAGTGCATAATCTTTTAGTTGTAAAAAATCTGAAGAAGTCTGATGGTCTCATCGTCGTTCTATGTTTAAGTTCATCAAATGTTAGCAACCACCCGTCTTTATATCAGTGACAGATCTGTTGTGGACCAGCCTTTTCTATATTTTTGAAGTCCTGGGCTTTCATACCCTCAACAATGACCCTGTTTCTCAAGTATGGCATTAAGGGAGATGGAGAGGACGCCAAGCCATATTTATGTGCTGTCTTGTCTCAGACCCAGAGGGAGTTGAGTATTGCTGGACACCCTGTGTGCAACAGTGCTCTGCTTTCCTTGGGAACCCACATGTAGACAAGATAAACACTTAAAGTAAGTTACATCTGATTGAAAAATGAAACAATTTTGTTTTCATGCTAACTGTGTCAGTCACAGCCAGGTCAGGTGTGACTAGAGGTGCATGGATAGAAGGAAAACTGATTTAACTCCTAAATGGCGTAGAATTGAGCAGTGAAACTTCAGAGGCATGAGTTATGCACCATAACTTATTCATTAAGCTAAAGTTGTTTTGGTGACTGTAGTGTCCCTTTAAAATGGACAACCCCACCCTAAGCTGCCCAGTGTCTACCTGTCCTCAGGACAGACCGGTCAAGTAGAGAGTTACTTTCCTGTTTTTAATTTAGCTGTGCCGTCAGATGGTAGTGAGAGAAAGCCCAGACTGTTTTCGTTTGGACTTAGCGATGGCAGATCCCTGTCCAATATTCAGGCCACTTGTCCAGTGACGCTAATCTTCAGTCACAATTCAGGCTCAGGCAGCCATCCATTTTGTGGAACCCATGCATTGATTGCTCTGTGATTTCAGTTGTTGAAAGGAAACACAAACACTGGTTATGATTTTATTTTCAATTCAGTGCAAGATGCGGTGGCCTCTCATTTAAGCGATTACCTGGTAATTTATTTTGACACATACCACCTACCTAGAGATGTTTTCAGACCACATACACCACTTCATGCATGTACCCTGCCACACTACAAAAACTGTTCAGGAAAGATTTGAGCAACATAAAAAAGTGTTCAAGATGTTACCTTGGCCTCCAAATTCCCCAGATCTCAATCCAATTAAGCATCAGTGGGATGTGCTGGAACAACAAATCCAATCTATAGAGGCCTCACCTTGCAACTGGCAGATACCACAGAACACGTTCAGAGGTCTTCTGGAGCTCAGGCCTCAATGCATCAGATCTGCATTAATATTAGGCAGGTGGTTTTAATCTTGTGACTGATCGGTATATATAGCAGCAGTTCCCAAACTGTGCTGCGGCGCCCAAGGGCACACAGGGGAGCTGCGAGTTATTTTCCTGGTGAGATGATGAAAGCACCGGGAACTGTGCCTCCCCCTCCCCAGGACTGGAGGGGAGACCAGAGATCTCAGTCTCCAGCCCGCTAGCACTTTGCTGACAGCAGGGAGGGAGAGAGGACCTGGGGGAGCTCTAACCCGCAGCTCCGCCGGGTTCTCTTTTTGCAAGAGTGAACTCCTGAGGCTGTTAGAGTTCACTTTCGCCACTGGGACCATCAGGGATTAGTACTGACCCCCTCCCAGGCAAAGGTAAGCAGAGGCGGGGGGAGAGGGAATATCATTTTTAATTTTAACTAAAAATAAAGTGTATATTTATTAATTTTCCCTCCTACCCCCACAAACTCCACACCACACAATAGCCCCCCCATACACACACTGCCCCACCATACATACACATTACCCCCCATACGCACACTACATGCTTCACAAACACAATGCAAACAGTTTGACTACTTACCCTGGGAGGGCACTACTGGCACCATAACCACTACAACATAATGTAGTGGTTATTGTGCCTAGATTGTTTCTTTAAATAATCTGCCAGTGCCACTCCCAAGATTAGGGGTCCAGTATATGCTGCTGCCCTGTACATATATCCAACCTAGGAAATTCTTTTAACTTGGGGCGCCTTGGGAAAATATTGAAATATTAAGGGCGCCTTAAACCTAAAACGTTTGGGAACCACTGGTGTACAGGATTGATGGAAATCTTTTATTACATCCAGTGTTTTTATTTTCTGTTTCAACATATAATGGCCTGTATTCATCACCGTATAATGCAAGTGAATCCATTTTCTGAATATGTATATGGCTGTGTGTGTATATGTATGTTATGTCACATGTGGGTATTGTCATGGAATCACTCCTACCAATTTTATCTTTTTTCACACCACAGATAATAATTAGATTTTAACTTAATGGTTTTTAACTTGTGTCATCCTGGATTCAGTTAGCTGTGCCATTAGGGGGCGATAGTGTACTTTGTGAAAACCCATGGACTCGCGTATTGTGGGTTCTCTTCGCTTTCTATGTTCCATTTGTGATGACTGCCGCTTGGACGTATGAGGAAAACAAGAATTCATCTACCATAAATTTAATTTCCCATCGTATAAGTGACAGTCTTTATTTCTTTCACTTTCTACCATAGAGCAAAAACAGGTTTCCTTCCAATAGCTTGTTACTTACTGCTGGCTGAGGGTTGAGCTTGCCTTTATACAATATATATTTAGTATATAATGCTTGAATGGGGGGCACTGCGTTTTGTTTAGCCTTTTCAGTGCTATTTGTCCGGTGAGTGGCTTAAAGGCAACAGACCATCCACGACTACTGCCGCTTGTGCTATGGGAAATGTAAAGTTATAGTTTGTAAAATTTAAAGGTTTTTTTTTTTGCTTTGAAATATTTAAAAAAAATCCTGAAAACCTCCAGCTCTGTCCATTAATATCCTGTCTTAAGATCCCGAGCTCCATATCTGTTACCATGGAGCAAGTGCCTTGATATGAAAGCCAGGCCAATCATCAGTCCATCTCTAGTTATTGTTAATATCTTAACATCTTCACTACCAGACCAGTGTAGAGGAGGGTTAAATCCTTTTTCTTTTGGTCGGGGTAAATATAATTTACACTAACTCAGTTCTTATTTGGAAAGATAGCAAATATGAGTTAGTATAGGACATTTAACCATTACAGTAATTTCACTGGTAACTAAACAGGATTCTTATAGATGGCATAGTCGTACAAATCCATATTTAAACTCCCCTCTGTCACAACATATAGCACTGGTTTGGCCAGGTAGCCTAATGAATGTCCCAATTGTAACGTTAAATGAACACTCATTGAAGGGACACTATAGTCACCAGAACAACTACAGCTTATTGAATTTGTTCTGGTGAGTAGAATCATTACCGTCAGGCTTTTTGCTGTAAGCACTGTCTTTTCAGAGAAAATGCAGTGTTTACATTACAGCCTAGTGATATCTTTCCTGGGTCATGGCTGCCTAAAATGCATCCAAACATTCAGTATCTCCTCCCTCTGCATGCAGACACTGACCGTTCCTCGTGGAGATTCATTGATTCAATTCATCTCTATGAGGAGATGCTGATTGGCCAGGGCTGTGTTTGAATTGTGCTGGCTCTGCCCCTGATCTGCCTCCTTGTCAGTCTCAGCCAATCCTATGTGGAAGCATTGTGCTTGGATCAGGCTACAACTTCTGCTGATGTCAGCAGGCAGTGGGCAGGTCTAAAGGAAACAGGGACAGACTTGAATACAAGTAAGATGGGGACCAGGGTGGCTAGATGGTGGTTTTAACCCCATAGGGTCAGGAATACATGTTTGTGTTCCTGACCCTATAGTGCTACTTTAAAATAAAGTGTGGGCCATGGAGAGAGGGTTTACAAAGATACCATTAGTTTTGTAACATTGATGGGTCTACTTGTTGGGTGTTGGCTGGATATGTTATGTATAATGATTAAAAGAGTGTGGAGTCTCTCAATTACTGTGGATATCCCATTATGGATGTCAAAATATTTCTCACGGTTATCCTATTGAACTCTATGTTCACATAAAGTGCACCAGGTTCCATTGTCCGTTCTATAGCAAGAATCCTCAAAGGATCTAAACACCAACACAACGTTGGCTTAATAAAGTGATTTTGTTGTATAAATTATGTCCATGCAGTGTCACTGCTCAGTTCTCAGTTGCCCTACCCACACCTCCCATGGTTCTGACTTACACAGCCTCCATGGGAAAAAAAAGGTTTAATTTTCAATTAGATCTTACAGCACAGTGTGTTTTCTTTTGTAAGTTTTGACCTCCTCTGTTAATTGAACTGTAATCACACACTGGGGACTGCTGCTTTTATTATTTATTTATTTATTGTGTGACGTTTCCTGTGGCCTAAATAATATGATATGCCTTTTCCAGACTTTTGAAAACCGGTAAAGATATCCGCTCTACTCGATTACTAGAAAAATGTATTATTGTTGTGAGAGAGCTCGGTACTCAGCCTGAGTATCTCCGTTAATATCCCTTCTTTTTAAGTAGGACACCTTCAGTGATTATAGCAGCTCACCCAAACATCAGCCAAAACTTGATGAAGGGTGAACACAGAGTGTACTTTATACTTTATTCAACCAACTCACACATATTTATACAAGGTACATCTACATGGGTTGATTACCAGAACAAGAGCAGTTCCTTCCCCAGGGCCACCAGGTCTGAGTATTAACTTTATGAACTGTTAACTCAATTATCTCAGGTTCATTCACTTCTGTCCTTTTTGTTTCCTTCTCAGAGAGGCAATAAAAGTTTTATTGCCATTTTTGAATATTTTGCAACACGTGGTTCATACTCTGTGGAATGGAGGCTGACTTCTAAGGCCCTTCATGAGTCCCAGGAACTGTATTTAACAAAAGCCATGCTGGCTTATTTTTATTTTTTTGATACATTGTAAAGAACCTGGCCACACAACAGGAGCTGAACATTTAATCTGGAGTTTTACCTATACATTGGCTGTTCAGAATGTCCGTGAATCATGCTAGAATCTTGCCACTAGCTAGATTAATGCTTGCCAGCTGCATGAGTGAACTCACTTTAAATTTGAGTTATCTATTTGTATATCCTACTAAAAAAAAAAGGGTTCCTGGTCATAGCGAATATCTGTCAGGCTATCGCCAGTTCAAAAATAAAGAGAATGCAGGTACATATATCCTTAAATAGGAGTGATATGCAGACAGAAAAGGCACATAGTTGCCATGGAATTCTATGTCTGCATCTTCATCCCACTTCATCCTAAAATAGAAGGCATACAAAACAGCCAGATATGTTTATTTTGTTAAAGGTTTTGAAAATTGTCTGTGTTGGATGAGAATCTAATTGCTAAGCCTTCTGGCTAGGTATGGAAGACTTTTGCAAAAAAAAAAAAAATTGTTGATGAATATTACCTTTTAGAATGTTAAGATTTATATATGTAATGTGGAGCTCCGCTTGAAGACCTTGAGAGGAGGCTAGCAGACTTATTGAGTCAATACCTCAACTATTTCCACCTGCTCAGGAGCTTTGTGTACGGAATACATCTGGATGCTATCCCTGAACACGCCAACTGATGGCATTACATCATTGCATTTTCTTGTGGGATCCTGTTTTAAACAAGAATAAAGAATTTAAAAAAAAGAAACTCCCTGGAAGTTAGTTGGCCAGAGGATTAGGACTACTGCCTGGCAAGTGACATCTTATTATGAAACAAGAAAAAAAATCCTCAATTAGAATGGTGTATACGTAGTAAAAATCATAGATAGTTAAATAACTGAAAAGAGACCTGTCCATCAAATTTCCTTTGCCTTAGACTAAATCTCCTTTCTTCCAGTCTAAACACATGAAATAGATTTCAAGGCAATGGTTGTACCGAAGGGCATGCTATCGAGTCTCTCTAAGCTTTTGTCCGTTCTAAGAGTTTTCATGCTTTCTTTTTTGCTTCAATCCATTAACTTGGCTCACCCAAAGTTAAAAGGGTAATCCAGACGTGGACCCCGCGCTCTCTGTGCCTAGAGGGATATCAGCTACACCTCACTGATGAGGCCCAAAAGAAGGCCGAAACGATAATCTAGGGTTGCTGTATCTAGGGAACTTGCTGGCATTTCGGATCTGGACTGCCCGTACCGGTGGGACCAGTCTGATATGCTTCAGATATGTTCTCTCTGCAATGGCAAAAGTGAGCAAAAACTATTTTGAGACCCGAGCGGGCACCCACCGTAGGGAAAACTAATGAGTCTCTGTAAGCTTTTGTCAGTTTTCATCCTTTCTTTAACCCCTTAAGAACCAAACTGGAATAAAAGGGAATCTTGACATGTCACACATGTCATGTGTCCTTAAGGGGTTAGTGGTTTGTATTGACCCTGAATATATGTGTTTAAAACTATCATATGCCCTGTGAGACACCGCTTTTCCATACTAAAAGGATTTACATTTTTTAACCTTTTGTTTAGAACTAAAATAGTCCAATCCTTTTTTTATCAATTTTGTAGCTCGCCTCTGCACTTTTTCCAGTGCCATAATATCCTTCTTTAGTATATACTGAACACCTATACAAACTGCAAGAATCATAAAGAACTTCGTGAGCATGTGGAAGTACCTATCACCTTTCACATTAGTAGAACTGTTTAGGATAAACTGAAATAGCTTAGTTGGAGACCTGACGTGTTGCAGCATTTTCTGAACAGTTAATCTAAAGAAAAGGTGACTGCTTTGGGGAAGAATGAGAACACCAAATTAAAACCTATCCAGAGTTCAGGATATAAGTCAGACCGGGTGGCCACCCAAGCCAGAGTTTAGGATATAGGTTTTACACCTGGTGGCCACCCAAGCCAGGGTTCAGGATATAGGTCACACCGGGTGGCCACCCAAGCCAGAGTTTAGGACATAGGTCACACCGGGTGGCCACTGTGATCATTTAAACAGTTCTCATTTGGGTACTCATGCTACCAACATATCCCCAGGTGTCCATAGTATCTTAAAGTTTAAAGAATGAGGGTGCCAACTAAAGGCGTAAACAGGGTCTTCACTTTCTATATCCTTTCTAGCTTCTCTTTTAGCCCTTGGTATTTGTCCACTTTCTCATGTTCTCATATATTACACTTTATAAATGGATTTCTTGGAGTATATGTCTGCTGTATACAACCGCTTTTAAACACAACCATTCATGGATGGCCTTTTCATTGTTAATGGAACTCATCAGCATGAGGTTGGTTAGAGGCTTGCTATTGAGGCTTGGCGTTACTTGTTGAGCACAAACCAACAGCTGTCCATGAGTGGTTATCTGGCTTTGAACCTCTTTCTGAGTTGTGTTGTATACAGCAGGGCTATACTCTAAGGAATCCATGTATAAAGTGGAATAAATAAAGCTAAATGGTGGTTCAGTGTTGAACTTATTTGCATATGCCAACCCAGAATCCCTTGCAGTTTTCGCAACACTGGAAATGTGAGATTTCTGTAGGAAAATCAAGTCTTATGGCTTCATTGATGTGTACAGATCTGTGCTTAACAATGCATTTACTATCCACAGACTTCAGGTGGAAGGGGTTTTTAATTACTTTTCCCCCCACCATACGTCCATTGGGGTGTGTGTGTACATATATATACTATGTGCTATGAGAAAAGTAAACAAAACAAAACCATAAATAATTATCCATCCTGCAGTGGTGCTGTCTCCCACTGTGTAGCTTCTGTTATTATCTCTGTTCATTTTAAATATGTGGTTTATCTGCTCCCTGTTGAAGTCCTGTCCCTCTATGTAGCAGTCACGCTCCGTACACCTTCAATAGAATCGTCTGCAACCCATTACTTGATCAGCCTGCAGCAAGAGCTGGCCCTCCTGATTACATTTGGCGTCTTGCAATTTCCCTGCTCTCTGATAAATATGTTATTTTATTTCATTGTATGAGAGAGGAGAAAAAAAAAACCTCATCTAATCTCCAAACTGGTTTTCTAAATGACTTTTTTTTTTTTTAAATCTATACTTTAAAAATGTCTCTCAGGCTTCAGCTCTTTAATTATCATTTCGTTCTTTTTGTGACGACATTCGCTGTTTCGGATGGTTATTGAATGGACAATTACATTTTCAGTAACTTGAGTAAAAGAAATCCGCTTTTGCTGAAGGAAAGAACATATTTTAATTGGTCTTCAATTATACCCAGTAAGTGGGTTGTTTTTGTTTTAGTTTGTCATTGTATTTAATTGATCTTGAACGCTATTAATTTTCCATTTATTGTTTTAAGGATCTCTGGAGGATCAGAAGTCCTTGTGGGATCTGTGAGGGATTTGATGTCAGCATTATGGACGATATGATCAAGGTGTGGAATTTTTGGTCTCTCAATGTCGCAGATGGCTGCCTTATTGGGAGGGTATACTCTTAACTGATTGTAATTAACTTTTATAAAATTCAATATATCCAAAGTACACATGCTTACATATCTTTATTTCCTGGTCCTCGTTTCACAAAGGAAATTCATATTAGGCAGAACTTTGCAGTGGTTGATTGTGCATGAGATGACACGGACACACATTTTGTAATAGTTAAAATATGAATTGCTACTTATTAAGAGATGGCACTGGCTAAAATCTCTCTGCCATCTGGTCCCCAGGTGGCAGGCTTGTAGTCAGAGATCTGACAATACAGCAGGGAGCATTTGAATTGGATTTTTCTGCATGATAGTGACGCATGTTTAAGGGGATCTTGCCTTAGAGAAATAGGCTTATACGTTATAAATAAGATGGAAAACAAAAAGTACATAACACCATAATGATACATTGTGCCACATAATTTGCGATCACGCTAGGTTACATTGTACACCATAAAGCAGAAAGTTGGTTAGCATAAAATTGAATCTATGTGTATAAAATAGTTTATTTTTAAATCTAGCACAAGCTTAAAAAATTCTTCTATTTTACTTTTTAAAAAATATATTTAATTACCAACTTTGTGGCAGAATTCTCTGAACTTTCGTGAATCACAGGAGGCCGAGCCCCATCCACTTTGGGAGTATCCTTGCAGAGCCCTCTCCGAACCAACAAAACTTATGACCTTTGACTTCCGAGAACCTGTCCCTGCTGATGAGATGAGGTCTGAGGGTTCACTGAACCTGGTGAGGTAAGTGACATATGAAAATAATTTTGTAATGAGCGCACATACTCGCCTTTTTGTGATTGAATTGTGTCTTCTATTTAGAGGGACGCTATAGTCACCAGAACAACTACAGCTTTGTTGTATTAGTTGTTCTGGTGACAACTGCCTTTCCCTGCAGGCTTTTTGCTGTAAACACTGATTTTTCAGTTACCTTCCTGCCTAGGGACACCTCTCCTGGCAGTCAATCAGACAGGCATTAAAGGTGCTTCCTGGATCACTGCTGCACAACGTGCTTTACCTCCCTTAACCTTCTAATTCTCCAGCAGTTGGGAGCTGTGATGTTATTGTCTGGTTCATAAAAGCTTTAACAAACAAGTATTCATAGCAGCCAATAAAGATATGCCACCTACCACTTTGAATACCGAATCCTGACCTTTTATCCTGACCTCTCCTGTACTACGTTGGAAAAGCGCAGGTCCAGTACTTCTTCTTTAGGTATTTTAACTTGCTGGACATAAGGCCAATGTCTTTGATATATTGTTCTCTCGCTCTCATGCTGGATAGTATTATCCTTAAGTAACATTCTCCTTCCATAGATGACGCTTTACTGAAATTTAGTATCTTTGCTGTATTTTTACATTTCTTTATTTTTGCTTATTCCCTACAAAATAAATAAAGACTGACGGGGGAAAAAAATCTGATGATCTTTGCTCTTCGTATAATGTGAGCCCTAGATGATAAGCTGTTACTATGTATCATCTTAAAAGAAATTATTATCCCTATCCATTATCATATCATTGCTTCCTGTAGCAATGCATGTGAAGGGTGATGCTTATAATTCCCATTCTATCCTCGGCGATCTACCTGGAGGCATATCTGTTAGTATCCCTCTCTTTGGAGGCTCTGTGACTTGCAGGCTGAGATCTCCAGACAGGAGTAGGGCACAGCGTGCTGCGATGACGATGCTCTGCACATGCCTGGCATAGGGAGGATCTCTCAGCAGAGTCTCCTGGGCTTTTGGGTTATTATAGAGATGACCTGGGTGTCCCAATACCTGCATTGACGGCACGGTTTTCTTACTAATCCAAATGTGACAGCAAAGGGAGCCTGGGGTATAGAGATTACACGTCTTCATAACATAATGTTGTTCCCTGAAAGATTTTCTTGCTTGGCAGCGGGGGGGGGGGGTGTGTGTGTGTGTGTGTTTTAACCTGGAACTCACCAGGTCTCCTTTAAGTATGGTCGTGGGAAGGGGTGCGTGTGAATACATTTGCAGTTGCATCCCAGGTGTTATTTATAGCAACATACAAAGCATCATGGGAGTTGTAGTTTTACAACATCTAGGGATCTACGTGTCCTGCTCTAAACCTTCAGATAGAGAGCTGCAACCTTTATAAAAAGATGGGATCCATTTGTAGTGAATAAAATGTGTATGTTGTATATTTTATTATGGTATAAACCGAAGTAACACCTTTTCAGAACTCAATGATAAAGAACCTTTTTTTCCCATCATGCAAACTGTGAAATTGTTACTTCACTTTTAAAGAACATTTACATTTTACGTGGCACCACAAAGTAAAAGAAAGGCATGTGAACAGGGGCAGAGAGCGCAAAGCCGGTCAGTGTTAGGGCATACTCAGTCTTAGGCTAAATTAGCGGTTTGGAAAAAAGTCCCCAACTCCGTTATAGCTATGGATTGCTATTTTGCCAGGATTTTGCAGCAATTCAGTTTCAGTTAATTTTGATGTTTAGTAAATCTGCCTAATTTATCCAGCCATGTTTTTGGGCATTGGTGCTGTAATCATATCTTATTGCTTGTTGTATTTCTCGAGAATGGATGGCAAATGAAAGTTCTCTGTACCGAACTGTGGTCTCTGCGCTGTCCATCTGTCCAACCCAGTCCTGAAGTACACCCTACCAGTCCAGGATTTAGGGATTACCCTGTTGTGTCGAAAGTCCTGTTTTTGTTTTTTTAATTTCTAAAAACATCTTAGACACAACAGGGTAATCTCTAAATCCTGGACTGTTAGGGGGTACTTGAGGACTGGGTTGGGAACCACTGATCTTTAGCATAAGCGGAATATTGTTAGTTTCAAACAGGATCGAATAATATCCAGTTTATATGAAATCCGCGAATGTGTCTTATTAGTACTATAATATTCTCAATTTTTCTTGTTTCCTCTGTGCTTTTTGCATGGAGTTAAATAAACTTTAAATGTGGTCACTAATATGTTGTGTATGGCAGTGCGGAATCTTGCAGTGTCTTCGAGTTCTCGAGCGGATTTAAAGCGGCCTTTGTGATATTCAAAATAGAACCTTTGTGAAATACCTGTGTTAACCGTATCGGAATTTCACTGACATTTCAATGTAATCAGAAGATAGACATAGTAGGGACTAGATTGAACAAATACAGGTTTGGGAAAATGGCAACGAGAGGGTTTAATCCAGTTTCTGCTGCCACATCTTGATAGTCATGCCCATCAGCCCAGGGTATCTTATGATTAGAGATGTCGCGAACCGTTCGCGAGAAGTTCGCGGACGGTTCGCGACATCTCTACTTATGATGTATGTTTGAGTAGAACTAATGAAGGATTTTGTTGGTCTAGTTTAACAGCTAAAACAATGTGTGCACATTTGATTACTCCATAATGGAGAGCTGGAGGTTTGACTGTCATAAAGATGGGTGAGGCAAAATGAAGCTATTTGGTGTAGTGCCATCATTAGATGTTTAGTGCCAGGGAAGTAGATAAATGGCTGCATGTCCTGATATGTAACTGCAAGGAGCAACTGAAAAGGTTAGTGCACATAAAATAACTTAAAGGGACACTATAGTCACCAGACCAAATACAGCTTAATGTAGTTGTTCTGTTGTGTGTAGCCTGTCCCTGCAGGCTCTTCATTGTAAACACTGCCTTTTCAAAGAAAAGCCAGAATGTTCATTGGTGCTGAGTAACACTAGTGGCAGTCACTCAGACGGCGCCTAGGGTCGCTTCCTAGTTCAGTGCTGCTCCGTGTTCTTCACCTATGTTCAGCGTCTCCGCCCTCCCAATGATTTCTTATGGGAAGTTTGCTGATCTCCGCCACAGAGATTGGACCAGCCGCAGCGAGACCGGCGAGGCGAGTGGGAAAAAAGGTGAGTTTAAAAACCTTTTCACTGCTCTGACAGGGGGGCGAAGGACCTAAATACAGGTTTGTGTTCCTGACACTTGAGGGTTCCTTTAACCATTTTTTATAAGAAGAAGAATATCCTTTATGCTTCCATTAGGGGATTCCAAATATTTTTATTATTATTATTCAGTTGTTATTATTATTATTTATATAGCACCAACATATTTCGCAGCTCTTTATAGTTATAGAAAGGGGATATTTGAACTCCCTGGTTAAACAAGCTTACAATCTAATGAGGATTTGAGGTAGGAAGACATTCGCACTCTAACCAGCCAATATCTAATTTTATTACATCATTTTCAATTTTTATGATTATTTTAACTAATATTTAAATTGAGGGTTACAGTTCAGAGGACGCCATTATAAAGGTTTAATTAAAAAAAATGTTCCCCCTCAGACCTGGTGAGTCTCATGGAATGGTTCTTTGGATGGAATATCAGCTTACAGAAGATATCTCGGTCAGTACTGGACTGCTACAGGTTTCGGAGGAGAGGGTAAGTGATACTTTGACCTGTTGCACAACCTGGGTCACGTAATCTCCATACCCGTTAAAGTAAACCACAATGCTATCAGAATTCACATTGTAATCACTTTAAGTAACACACCACCAGTATTAATGCCATAGTTAAACAATTAAACCAGCAGAGTGGAACCCAAATAGGATAGTTTGTCCCTCCTCAAGGATAATGATCCACAACAAATAGAAAAGGTTAGCTTCCGTTCATAAAGATCAATGTGCGTGGAGTAATTACATGAAATCCATCATTTATTTACCCACGTATGGACCTTTTAAAAGTATGGTAATACAAATACAAGGGGCAGTGGCAAAATTCCAGTCATCGCTGTATGGGTTAAAACACTTCAAAATACCACGGGAAATGGGCAGATCGTACCTACAATGTTATACTTTGTGAAGATAGACCTACTTCCTTTACCCATCTCCAAACCAGTCCTCCTCTCTCTCTCTTTCTGCAATCCAGTCCCTACACCCTATGTCTGCACCCATATGTCCACTCTCCTTAATGTTCTCTACATATACATTATTAACTTAACTGCTCCCCTGTACCCCAACACGTGTCCCTTGCTCTTTCTATGTCTCATCCCCAGCCCCCCCTTTTTCCATCATTACATCAAATCCGATATTTCTTCCTGTGCCCCAACCCCCACCCCCTTTTTTTTTTTTTTTTTTTACTCCAACCTTTGCCCTTCCCTTACTTGCCTGTGTTATTTAATGATTTTCTCTGTTGTATCAGTCATTTTCTCATTGTTCCTCCTTTTCTAGGGTAATTGCCTCTGGTACCCGCACAGCAAACAAGGCGTTTATTTCTTCAGTTCCGTTCTGGACCCCACGTTGGCTTCTACGCAATCCTTCGCCTCCGTCACTTACTTACTGACTTTTAATCCCAAACTGGGGGAGATCCGCATGAACTTCACACCCATCTCTTAACAGTACAATACATAGGTTCAGATGCATTATATTGTACATTTATTTTGGTGTCGGCCTACAGCCAACCCTTCCTAAAGGCATCTGTCAAGTCTGATCAAAAAGTTGCATACACAGCACTGCATCATATGAAATGTGGATAATATTTCTTTAAAACCCTGCTTTTATTCTTAAGACTTTTATCCTATTTTTTTCTTTGACTTTATTTTGTATTACTTGTCCATGTGCTTAGAACACAGCATGCATTTCACTTTCTTTTTCTGATTGGATACTTTTTTGTATCCCTTTAAAAATCATAGTTTTATTGTTTTTAATTGCAAAAAATGTTCTTGAGTCTTGAAGGGTTGGTATAGAAGCATTATACATTGTATGGATCATTCAGCAGTGTAAAGCAACAGTTCTTCATTTTAACAGCCATCAATAAAAACCCACACATTTTCCAAACCTTTCCCCTTCTCCAAATTTGCTTTTGTGTGCTAAAGAAAAGTCGTTTTCACTTAACGGGTGGTCTGCCGTCTTGTACTTTGTGTAGATAACAAGTGATGTTTTTAAATAGTCTTTTCAGTGTTTAATTGCTCAGAGTTGGACTAGTTATGCCAGGTCTGGACTTGGACCTTTGACTTCTCATCTTATGTGACATGGGCTTAAGCCAGTACTTTGTGAAATTCAATGTTTCCGAATTGGACCAGGGTCCCCAAGTGATGCTAGACGACCGTTATTGCCCCAGAACTTCTACAGGCACCTTGAGCTATGTTATTAAAATGGCTGGACTGTTTTGTAAAATATTAATTCGTAGACTTTCATACTCTTTGCTGTTTTTTTGTTTTTTCTTGTCTTTGTCACCATGCCCTCCTAGGACGTTCTCTGTGTCTGCTTTCCATCAGAATCACTCTCTTAAGTTTCCTCAGGGCAATCTCCAATTTGCTTTCACAATCTGATTTAAAGGAGAACTCACCTTGTTACTAAACAGCTCTTGCCCTGTTCACTATCGCTTTATCTTGGCCAAATGTGTATTTTTAGTAGGCATTGGAACCACGCTATTACAAAATCCATAATTCAGTAATACAAAACTGCACTGCGAATGAAGGCATTGGTGTTATTGATTGGTTTAAATAGTGGGCCACATCCCCTCTCTTTACAATCTCGTCTTTATTTGTGTGGTTATTACATTAGCCCATATCTAATCACTAAGGTCAGTTAATCTTACTGTCATTGTCTGTATATTCAGTGCACTTAATGAGATTTAGGTATGTTTTCTCAAAATGTAATTCAATCTTTTTTGTATTTCCTGTGCCTTTAAAATGGAAAATTGTCACATTTTTAATCGACTTGTTATGTGAGATGGCTTTTCAAGACAAAACATTGCCAGTTGCTTAAAGTGACATTTACCATGACATGCTACGTTACTGTCCCGTGTTTGATGGCTTCTGTAATATCGAACCTTACTGTAGCAGGATATTACTTCAAATATTTATTATCCATCACAAAAAAATTACAAAAGTGATTAGTTTTAATGTATTTCTCACAAAAGACACTCTGCAAATAGGACTTTATTCCAGGTCAAACAACCTGAAGCTTGCTTGGTTGCCACTGTATTTTTGGGCTGGGAAGTGATGTCCATGTACCGTTTGATAGAGTAAAGCTATTTGTTGAGTGCTGATTATTAAAATGACTTGTATTTTTATAGGTATACATGAGTATTTGTATATCTGTGAAAACACAAAATCCAACAAAAAGTCTTAATGTGACTGGTGTTTGAATACGTCATACGAGGTGTACGCCAGGGGTGTCTAATTGTGACCTACAAGATATTTCTGGACTACAATTCCCATAATTCTTTGTCAGGCTGTACATACCAGAATGGTATGGATATTGTACTTTATGAACTCTTGGAGCTGAACAGGAAGTCTAGGTATAGGACAATGTCTGCCAAGATGTATTCTTCCATGCTGTTGAGGTCTTCCATGATAACTTTGTTTTTTCACTGTGGTTGTATCAGATCAGCCCATTGCATGTTGTTTAGTTATGCCTTCAGTCTGTCCACATTAAGGGTTAAACGCATGATCCAGCTCCAGTAGACTTGTTTTGTGTGCCACACTTAAGCGCAATTGGCACTTTTATAAATCCCCTTAGTAACATCTTTCTGCTGTCAATCAGACAGTCTGGGAGTAGAGATGTCGCAAACCGTTCGCGAACTTCCCGCGAACGGCTCGCCGCAGTTTGCCACGAACCGTTCGCAGCGAGCTCCGGTCAGCTGACACATCCCGGCCAATCTCCAGCAGACCCTCGCTCCCAGACCCTCCCACCTCCTGGAAAGCATCCATGTTGAAGGCAGCTTCAACATGGATGCTGTCCAGGAGGTGGGAGGGACTGTCTGCTGGAGATTGGCAGGGATGTGTCAGCTGACCGGAGCTCGCCGCGAACGGTTCGCGACATCTCTATCTGGGAGTCTCCTGACTCTTTCAGCTCAAAGCAAAAGTGAATGCTTCTCATCACATGGTAATGTGTCTAAATGCTTTTGTATGAGAAGCGTCTGATTGGCAAAAGTCACCAGTATTGATAACTTCACAGGAGTTAGATCAGAGCTATCCCGAGGAGACTCTTATTGCACTGAAAAAAGGCCAGGTTTATATATTTTAACTATTTCAGTGCCAAAATGGTGGGGCTTCATCTAAAGAGTTTAAGGAACTGTCCAATTACAAAATAAATCTACTCTATGCTGACAGAATCAATTAAGGAAACTCTATTCCATAAACCGTGCTCACAGTGTGAAAAAAGAATAAACTAGTGTAAACCACGGATGGCTAATCTTAAGTGTACATGCTGATGTGGACTACATCTCCCATGATCCTCATCAACCAGTTACTAGTCCTTTTCATTTGGTAGGAGCCAGAGGTTAGCAATCGGCATGGATTCTGCTGTCTCTCGGGTGATCATGGTTTCCTGATGCCTGGTTCGGCTGTGTCCTTTCAGCCAAAGCAATTCCTATAGAAACCTTTCGGTCTGTTCAGGACGTCCAGGTCAGGGCTCTTCTATTTGCTAAAGGGTTTCTCCAAGCACCATAACCACTTCATAGATTTAAAGAGGTCATGATGGTTGGGTCTTTATGAACAGAGTTTAACTATGAAACGCTGCGCGTATGGAGTTTAACCCATTCGCTGCCAAAGGTGTAACACCTCTGGCAGTGTGTGGCTGCAACACATGTAGGAGAACAAGGCATCACAGGACTTAGCTCATTAGAGCGAGCAATTTACCCACGTACAAGGTTACCATAACCAATTACAGCATGCTGTAGTGGTTATGGTGCTTTGAGTGTATCTTTGAAGCAGGATATTTCTCTGTACGTGGCCACACCCCCACCCAAGCATTGTTGTTTTTTTGTGTCTGTGTGTGTTCTGCACCACCTTGTGCGTATCTTTTGACCCACCTTATTTGTTTGTTTGTCTTCCATTGCATGCCTCTTAAACCGCTAAGTGTGTCTCTTATCCCCATTCTAAATATCTGACCCCAAATATCTAAACTGAAAATATAGCTTAGCTTGGAGATCCTTTCAATTTGATTATTATAACACAGACATAGTAAATTAAGCAAATCACACCATAGCTAATAATTCTGTTAATGTAGTGTCTAATAGCATCACAATAGCTGGCTTTGCGATGTCCCTACAAACCCAACCCCCAGACTTCCCTGTTCTGGCAGAAACCCAATTTATTTATTTTAAATTCAAATGAATATAATGCGTAATTTCAAAGCAGAGACATTTAGCTCAAGCTTTGGGTGTAAAATCTGTTGGATGACACTTACATTTATTCACTAAGCATCAAATTGAAAACAAAACATTTAGGTTAAAATAGCCAAGCAGAGTTTGAGAATGTTTTCCAATCAGCTATTTTTGCATAAATTTTGCAAATTCGTTTTCAATTCACTACAATATGCCATTTAGGAATTAAGCCCTGTTTTGTTTCATCGAGAGTACTTTCTGCGTGATGGCTTTGTGAAGGTGGGGAAGTTACTTATTAAATCTTGTGGTTTTGGATACAGACTTATCTCAAATAAGACTCTGACGTATTCACCCAGGTCTGCTGCATTTTGCTCTTGCCAAATGGAAGTGTTGACGAGAGGTAGAATGCAAGCTCTGATGGGCAGATTTCCCTTTGAACATTTCTTTCCATATGGTGTGATCTGGATCCACAGCGTTGCAGGTGTTAAATCCCACAGCTCGATAACAGATGTTTTCTCTAATTTCGGCCTTGTTTTCTTACTGTTCTGGAGATCTCCTGTGTGTCAAACCTCAGCTCGCGGAATGTTTTCAAACAGATGGGCTGTGTGGGTGCTGAATGTTGAATATTAAAATCCGTCCGTTCTCCTATCTTGTTATTGATAGCAAGGGGTCCAGATGGTCGCTCTCAGGAGAAATATAGCCAAATATCTAAATTACAAAAAACCCGAGCTCTTAACTGTTGAATCCTGCAGAAAACCAAAAGCAACTCTCTAGAGCAGTGCATGTTACTCTTGACGTAACCTCTACATTTAAATGTGCCAACAATGGTTTGCCGCACGACTATCCACTCTTTTACAATTCACTCCTTTAGCTGGACTGGTTGCCACGATCTCACTGAAAATATTAGTCTGAATTTAATCATACTTTTCATAGCTATGTACTGTGGCATCATTGATATTGCTTTAACTTGGTTAGAATTCAAAGTGAATATTAAATTTAAGGTCAAAAGAGACCAACTCTAAACATTCTCTAAGTTCGCTATTCTTTCACTGTGGCTAATCTGGCCTTAAATTTGAAATTCACTTTAAATCCAAACTCTTGTAAATAACCCTGTAATCAATGCTTCCTCCCTGACATCATTAAGGCCTCCATCTCCCAATTCATCTGGCTCCCAGTGATGATGTCATTAGGGCCATTATCTCTGTAACCAAGTATTTAGACCTACATCCCATGCAGTGGTGTTGCCACTGGGTTCCCCACTTTACTCCAATTATCCCCTTAGATAAGTAAATGTATAAGCAATCGCACTGTACGTACATGCTGGAATAGTACTAATCACCCTTCTGAATTGCATTAAGAGTTACTAAGGTTATATCTTGTTTTATCCATATGTTGTGGTTTTTTTTTCTTTGGTATGCTGTTTTCAATTTAAAGGACCACTATAGTGCCCCTCCCGCCTGCTCTGTGGAGAGGAAGGGGTTAAAATCTTACCTTTCTCCAGCACCGGGTGGGGAGCTCTCCTCCTCTTCGGCTGAATGCGCATGCGCGGCAGGAGCTGCGCTCGCATTCAGCCAGTCTCATAGGAAAGCATTCATAATGCTTTCCTATGGACGCTTGCGTCTTGTCACTGTGATTTTCACAGTGAGAAGCACGCAAACGCCTCTAGCGGCTGTCAATGAGACAGCCACTAGAGGCTTTAGAGGCTGGATTAACCTATTTATAAACATAGCAGTTTCTCTGAAACTATGTTTATTAAAAAAATGGGTTAACCCTAGCTGGACCAGGCACCTAGACCACTTCATTAAGCTGAAGTGGTCTGGGTGCCTAGAGTGGTCCTTTAATGATTTAAAAATACAGAGATTACTTATTAAGTTGACCATATCTTCCTAGTGGTTTAGCTTGCTGTTCATAAACTCCATAGTCCTCTCTCTGTTTAATATGATTGACAGTTGAGGTCAGCCAGCACTCAAGTCATGTACATAATTTGGAAATATAAGATAATATATCTGATGTTGCTACCTAGTAGGGAAACCCATGAGGTGTTGCAGAACATTAATGGACACAAAGCATGTAAGTTAAAATTAAATTGATAGATTGGAACCCTTTTGGCCCTATTGGAAAACATGGCGTGCAGTTGGTGGATTTGTGTGAGTAGTATGTAGAAAATGCCATCTCAATCTTTCACGAATAGTGGTGGGAAGTGGCGAAAAAGTGCACATTGATGTTTTAACAGAATTGATCAAACAAAATCAACACACATTGTATCTGTTCACGATCCAGACAGCTAGTGCTGTGATGTACTAAGGGAAGGAAACATTGTACACGCTGTGCGCTAGTTAGACAAGTCTCAATCTCCGTAACAACACATTCCATTTCTCTATTAATCAGTTTACAGCGTGATATGTCACTTCCCATTATCTGCAGCTACAAGCAGTATGGAAGCAAATAGTTTGCAGAACACTTTTCCTTGTCACAAGCTATTAACTTACCAACATTGTATATCTGCTTACAGTGACCTACCGTGCCCCAAACAGAAACGTATTCCCATCAGAGTGAGCATACGATTCTATCTATACATTGTGATAGCAGTTTTGCTAATGATTGTATAGGTTAGGAGAAAAAACTGTTTAAAAATGTTTTTTCTCCCAGCTGTCAGTCAATACCTCAGCACTGACCAGAGATCCAAAAAGACCTCCCATAGCAACCACAGCGCATGTTTCTAGCGCTGGCTAGGGAGTAAAGGAAGTGACGTCACTCCGTTACGACGCTGGCAACGGAAATAGTTTGCCAACTTCCCAGAGGTTTGCCCTGTTTGCACTTGTGCCCCCAGCAGAACAAATAAACGGAACCTGCAGGCAGAACGACGGACGGTCCAGAGGTGGGTGCTATACCAAGAATAACGCCAATTAAAGCTGTGCTAGAATGGAGGAAAGGTGGGTAAATCAATATAGTTTACATTTAATACACGGTGTATCTTAGTGATATATGGTGTATTCAATGTAAATGGGATTTCAAATAAGTAACTTTCTCATTACAGGAACATGCAGGCCTAAGGCTGGCAAAGTATAATGGGTCATGGGTTTATTTTTTTTAACAGCTGGGGATCTGTCTGTTGGCCATCCCTGTATTGGATAAACTGCTTAAAGGGATTCTCAGGCACCATACTAACTTCATCAGAGTGAAGTTGTTATTGTGCAGGGAGTTCCCCAGGGCACCAGCTTACCTCGGTTAAAGCTTTAAACCGTTTAACCCCAAAGTGTTAGATCCAGTGCCCAATCACTATGTCCACAAACATCCACCAAAGTTCATGACTTTACTTGGGAAGCCTCTAACAGTTGCTCTCTTGATGGTTGTATAATTTATTTTTTTCAAGCTGTTTGTAAATGGAGAGGTATTGATAGGCTGCGGAAGATGTTCATGGGCTGAGCAATGGTGAGCCGGTTTAAACAACTTGGGATTAAACAGTTCATTAAAAGATAATTCCTTGAGGTACAGCTATGCTTGGGTACCTCCTGGCACCATAACAACTTAATTCTGATGATGTTGTTACGGTATACAGAATGTTCCTTTTAAAGGCATGACTTCAGGATGACGGTCCAAGCCAATGCTCGTTTCCATGCATTTATTCTGTTAAAATATTACATTTTGTGGTTAGGACACAGGAGGGTAGGACTAAAGGCACTATAACAACTTCAACAAGGCAAAGTTGCCATAGTGCCTATAGTGTTCCTTTAAGAAACACATGACGGTGTAGGCAATGTAACTGTTTCATCTCATTTAAGTTGGTTATAGTGTCGGGAGTCCCTTGGCATAATCCTTCAGTTCAGTGTTAAACCATTTTTCAATGGGTGTAAGCCTATCACAATCACCCATTCAGCTGGTATGGCTAGGGAAGAGGTAATCTCAGCCTTAACCATACCTCCAGAGCTGGCTGGGCTCCGTGAGGCGAGGGAGCCCCATTGAGTGTTAAACCATTTGAAAATGATGTAAAAGTGAGAATTCAAACTGGCAATATTGCACTGTATTTGTGTTTGTTTAGGCTACACAACCTTAGGGTAAGTGTTTTTAGCCTATAGCAGTCCACTGTTGACTTGGGGTGGGTGTATATATCACAACGTTAACACAGCAGTCACACTGAAAAGCCAGCAGGGACCGGCTATAGCCACCAGAACATTAAACTCGAGTGGTTCTGGTGACTATAGTGTCCCTTTAATGTAATGGTTCTGGGCCAAAGAGATTGTCTTTGCAGGTTGAGCACTGAACACAATTAAGTGTTTACATTGCTGCTTATGTTCACGCCTAGTGGCTGTTATTTGGACAGCCACTAGCGAGGCTTCCAGGATGAGGTATTGCAAATTTTGCAGGATGGATCTTTGGCCTCTCTACACACTGCATTGAGATGGTGAAGGCTACCCATAAAGATGTATTGAGTCAGAGGAAATGCTGATGTGCGCAGCGTTGAGAATGCAGCTCATGTACACTAGCCTCCAAGTGCTGTCATATGATGATCCAGTGGACGGAGATTGCCATGCTGAGGGGAAGAAGGTAAGGTTAAAAGCTTGTAAAATATTTTTGTAGTGGGCCAGCTATGTAAATCGCATTTCACTCTGTTAGTTAAAGGGCCTTTCAATATATCATTCAGCTGTTTAACAGATAGCTTATATTTGGCAATTCCACCTCATGGTACCAAATTCGGGAACTATTCTATATTGTAAACTCGTTAGAGCAAGTAAGTCTCTCCTCTCCTCTCCCTCTCCCTCTCCCTCTGGAAAAAGGACGCCATGCCCCTGCTGTAGACTATATCTCCCAATATGCTCTAACAGTCCGAATCATTGCCACGCATTATGGGACATGTAGTCTACTGCACTGCATATAAAATGGTGGAACATATCTGTCTGCTATAGAGTCACAGCAGTATATTTAAATAAATTAAAAAATGCAAATCTAGCTTGAACGGAAGATCATTTTTAAAATATTAATATTTAATTTCACAATATGTCATCCTCTTCATATTTGGTTATGATGTTAATAGAAATCTATTCTATGTAGTATTTTGGTCATGCTGTGTGCAACATTGTTTTGTTTAATCAGTGCTGTATGATTCTCATTGGGGTGAAGTGTTTAGATCAAATCCCGCAAAATTTACAGAAAAAGTAGGGCAGGTTATACCATTCTACAAAATATATAAGTTTTATGGAACCCCTTTCCGCTATGATTCATGTTACAGAACACCATCTGGATAGCCGTGAAGTGGGCAATTCTCTCAATAAAAAATGGATAAAAATTTTTTTGTTAAAGCAGATCAATCATTCCCCCCACCCCCCCAAATAACATTCTCCTAATAAGGAAAATACTTATTTAATAAAACACTGTTTTTGGCCATAGTAACCCTTTCTATCATGCCCCACATCTATAAAGGGAAAAAGAAAACCAAGTTAATAGTTAAAACTTACCTCTAAAAGAAAAAAAAAAAAAAAAAAAAATTCCAACAAAGTCTGACTAGTGTAGCTAGATATCTATATTTGTACTAGGGTATTTACATTGTTTACAGTAGCACCTACCGACACCAAGTCCTATTTTTATGTCTTGTTTGTAATTATGAGATGATGTCGTACATATTTACATGTATGAAATAAGTGTATAAAAAAAACTAAATAAAAAAAATAATAAACTCTTCTCCAATTTAGCATCTAGTTCTCACCCAGCCTGTTTCTCCTCTGGCGCCCCTTCAATGGATACCGCACTTGGCGTTTCATAGCGTGCCGCTGCACATAAGACTCTAAGCACCATGACCACTTTAAGTGAAGCGGCCATGGTGCTTGGAGTAACCCTTTAAGCATTGGAAGTTTCCTGACTGAGTGGCCATGAGATAAGTCTCTAGAATTGTAAATGGAACACTGTATAAAAGAAATGAGAACCCAGGCAGTTTGTGATTCAAACAACAAAAATATTATATATTTAACTGTGATACTTCTCAAATGACCTTTCAAAACACAGATCAAAAGATTGATTCGCACACTTACCACATTCCTTCACCCGAACCTCTGCATGCTTTTTATGCCAGCTGGTTCAAACACCATTTTCATTGTGTCATCCAACTAAACTTTTCCTCCACGATCCATATTGGAAATCGTAACGTACATGCTCCATACATTTGCTGGTTCATGCCCGAAAAGCCCTGGATTGCTATGTAACATACAGGACCACCTGAAATCCCTGGCTCTGCTCAATACAGCAATTTTGAAGAATGCCCAGCTTGAAAATGTGTTGAGCTGGATAAAGCTATTATCACAGGTTTGTTAAGGTTTCCCTGTACATTGCCTGCAACCCTTCCAGCATTCCGATACAGACCAACTCTCCCAGGTCCATCAGATAATCTGCCAAGAGACCAAGTTGTGTACAATGCTACGTAGATTCCAGACTGAGAAAAGCAGGGTGATATTTTATTGTGTAATTTCTATAACCATTTAGAAATAAAAACATTAAAGTAAATTCTACAAAGCTGATATATATATATATATATATAATATATAAATTATTCAATAATAGAAACCTTGGTTCCTTCGATAACTTGTTACTTCCTTGAGTGGATTTTCTTCCCACTCTTGTGAGTCCGGGTGATAATTACTTGTTTTATTTTTTCTTCTATTTTTACTTTTACCTTTTTTTGTTTGTTTTAATTGTTAAACGTTTAGCCTCATGCAAGTATAGCGCATGCTACTGTGGAACAATTCAAAACTATAGCAAGAACCTAAGAATTAAAAATAAAATATTTAAAAAAAAAAAAAGGTTTACTGGTCCCTTTTTTTTCTTGAGATATACAAAGATTATGCAAAAGAGAAAAGAAAAAAAAAACATTGAACAGCATCTCACGATTACAAACTAAATTGTGCTATATAGTGGTATAAAAACATCTCGGTAAGAATGGCACTGTTTGTCTTCTAGGTCCTCTCTTTCGTGGAGAGGATGGCTGGCCTCGGGAGCTGCTCTGGCTTACGTTGGCACCAGGAACTCATATCGCCTGACTGTCCCCGTCTCGTAGTCCAAATGGTGGAGGCAAACTCTGCTCCATTAGGACGCTGGAGAAGTCCCCCTGTTCCAGCCTCTAGGGAGAGGAGTAACCCCCCTGGGCCATGTATACTGTCATCATTAATACTGGTAGAGTCCACAGTCCTGCTTAGGACTCATCTTCTCCTGTAGAAACTGTCAGTCGCATTGCTACTGGAACGTGGTCTGATAATCCGGCTAGCTGTGTGATAAAACTGTATTCTTCAATCTCCTGAAAAGAGAGAGATTATATGCATGACAACCCTTACAAAAGCCACTAAGGAGATCTAGATAGACATGACAACCCTTGCAATATCTGCTAGAAAGATAGATCTAGATAGACATGAAAACCCTTTAAAAAAATTACATAGTCTGAATAAAAGACTTGTGTCCATCAAGTTCAGCCTTTCTCACAACTTTTGCCAAAAGGCAAAAAAATTAATTTCAAGCACTTTCCAGTTTTGCAACAAACTAAGTAAAAATTACTTCTAAACCTTAGAACGACAGTAAATCTCTCCTTGGGTCAATAAGCTGTTACTCCACATATTAAATAATATATTCATAATTGTTATGTTTTTGCATGAATTCATCTAATCATTGTAATACAATAATTTTACATCCTTATTGTTCTTACTGTAAAAAAAAAAAAAGGGTTCCTTTGCTATAGACGAAATCTAATTTTTTCCAGTCTAAAGGGTTGACCTTGTGTACTGTCCTGTTTATGAATAGATTTCCAGACAATGGTTTGTATTGGGTGCATAGAATGTAGGGAGCAGTGCTTTAAGATGTCCTCAGGTGTGGACAAGCATGTATGTGTCCCATTACATACTTGGCCACCGCTGAGGACTTCTGAAGGCACTGCTCCCTCCATTCTACACACACATCCTACCATTGACTCTATTAGAGAAGCTCTGGTTTGTGTTGTTCCAGCTGCCCTCATTAAAATGCTACAAGCGCTAGAAACCCAACCTTTCCTTGTTTCTACTTGGAATGGTTTGACTTAGCCACGTATTTGTATCATAAACTATCTTTTCCCACTGAGGCACATTTTTTTTTAAACTAAACTAAACAGATATACATTTGTTAGTCTGTCTTCGAAACTAAAGTCTTATATTTCTTTTATTAATTTTGTAGCACGCCTCTACATTTTTCTAGTGCCATAATATCTTTCTATAGAACAGGTGCTCAAAACTGCACAACATAGTCTTACCATTGATTTATGTAGTAGTAAAATCATACAGATACATTTAGAGGATACAGCTTACAAAACCTCCAAGAGAGAGAAAGATATGGAACAGTGTTTTTTAACGTCTTGGTTGGAACCCCAAATTCCTCCCCAATGGATGATACAGGCCCCATTCTTTAACACCCCAAGCAACTGCACACAATAAATTGTTCACTGTAGAATCACTATCTTCCTAAACACAAAGGAGTCCTAGTCACTTCTCCTTTCAATAACGGACTGTGTGACTTAAAGGACCACTCTAGGCACCCAGACCACTTCAGCTTAATGAAGTGGTCTGGGTGCCAGGTCCAGCTAGGGTTAACCCATTCTTTTATAAACATAGCAGTTTCTCTGAAACTGCTATGTTTATTAATGGGTTAAGCCTTCCCCCTAATCCTCTAGTGGCTGTCTCATTGACAGCCACTAGAGGCGCTTGCGTGCTTCTCACTGTGATTTTCACAGTGTGAGCACGCCAGCGTACATAGGAAAGCATTGCAAATGCTTTCCTATGCGACCGGCTGAATGCGCGCGCAGCTCTTGCCGCGCGTGCGCATTCAGCCGACGGGGCAGATCGGAGGAGGAGAGAAGGAGGAGAGCTCTCCGCCCAGCGCTGGAAAAAGGTAAGTTTAAACCCCTTTCCCCTTTCCAGAGCCGGGCGGGAGGGAGACCCTGAGGGTGGGGGCACCCTCAGGGCACTATAATGCCAGGAAAACGAGTGTTTTCCTGGCACTATAGTGGTCCTTTAAGAACATGCACTTACTGGTTCCCTATAAAAAAAATGAATGGGAGCCAGTGGTCAGCATAACAGTCTATTCACATATATGGTCATATAAAGTCTTTTCCGGTGTACTATTTAAAGGAACAATAAAGCATTAGGAATAAAAACATACATTTCTAACATTATCTATAGATGCCCCCCACCCACTAGTGAGGGTTTAAAATGGAGTTTTATTTACCTTTACTCCCTTGACGTGTTAGTCTTGTTGATGATCATTATGATTGATGATCTCAGCAAATCCAAAGCTAGTGTGCAAGTGCAGCAAAATGCCGTCTGGATAAATAGCGTTTTACTTGGCTATTGAGGTGAAGCTGTCTAATTAGAAACACTCTTCCACATACCAAACACTATGCTGATATGATTAAAGGGGAATGGTCACTTTCCAGGATTTTTAAAATGTTTAGTTATCCCAATATTTAACAAATGTGATTGAGAGATCTGAGAGATACAATTAAAGGTAAAAATCCACAGTGCTTTATTTACTTCTATCATGGACAGGGCCGTCTTTAATATTGATTGGACCCTGGGCAAGCATTTGCTTGGGCTCCCTGGACCTTGCCGCCTTCCCACTCCCTGGCATGCAATCATGCCCTATACTCAAACCAAGTGGCAGAACTAATGTAGAGAGGGCCCTGGTGCAAGAAAGTTGTTTTGTTATATTTGTGTGCAGTGTTTGTGCATTTGAATGTAAGCATGTTTTTGTATAGAGTATATGTGCGTGCATGTAGGGGTGTATTTGTATGTACTATTACCATTGGAATGCAGGGGTGTACTTGAGTGTAGTGTTTGTGTTTGAATGTGGGTTTGTATGTATTCTTGTATGGAAGGGAAGGATCAGCGCTAAAATATCTAACTAGAGAGAGTGTGGAGGCGGCAGCTAACCCCAAAGAAGTAGGGATCCCTCTTATCCTACTAATGGAGTTGAAACTCGGGAAAAGAAGAAATCTACGGGCAATGCCACCATAAGAATAATATACAGTATATAATCTATAGTATGTAAACAAATATATAAACCAAAGATCCAAGTAGAGAAAAAGTCCAAATAGTAGAAGGTCCAAGATAGTGGTGTGGAAAATACACTTGGCAGGAGTATTTTTTAACTGAAGTGTCTGCTGAATACCTCAATGGGGATACCAGGATAGGATCAACAGTGGAATTCATATGAAACAGAAAAGTAATAATAGGGTAGTATGTTCTTGCACAGAACAACTAAAAGAAATAAAATATAGTCCTACTCACGTTTTATGGAGCTGTAACTAGCTCCAATATAAATGGCATACAGTGGTATAATCTCCACTTGCAAGGATACGTGAGGGTAGTGTCTTGTAGTATGTAGACCATAAAATATAAAAAGAAACAATATTTTTGATGACGTCCGATTGAACTACTAGAATGGCGGCAGCCATCTTGGATGACAGTTGCGAGGGCATTGTGGGAAATGTAGTTTCAGGGCCAGCAGGTGACGTCAGCTATCATGCAGAGATATAGTGGGTGTGTTGCCACTGGCGGCCGCCACCGCCATTCTAATAGTTCGATCGGACAGCATCAAAAATGGCGCCCGATCACATGACATTTATTAAACTTGCTTTAAGCCACCAAATAAGCTTTGTTTTAATAATTAATTACAATCAAAATATTAACTGACCCATAACAAACAAATAATGTTAGTTTTTTATAAGTACAATTAATTACTTACTATTATGATAATGACGTCATTTTGGCACCATTTTTAAATAGCTAATCCATCATTTCCCTATAAAACCCCTAACATGCCTGGTCTTTTTATCTCCACTTGAAAAAGCCCTAGAGGCGAAACACGTTGTGGTTACTATATATTCTGTTTTAAACTGTATTTTATGTTTGTATGAATAAAGGTACTTTGGCTTATTTTACACTTTATTAGAGTGTGCCATCCTACTCTTTTTTTCTACATTTTACCATCACTGCTATTTTATTTTATCTTATACTGCCTGGCACCTGAATTTTATCTCCAGTGAGTACTACTCTCAAGACATTCTTGGTGGGGATCATACCACCCACGCCCGATCCATAGAGCAGTCGGCCTGCGTGGGTAAATGTGAGTACGTTTCCACTTATCCATACTCCTGGTATTTTACTCCACGAGTTGTTTCTTTTTATATTTTATGGTCTACATACTACATTACACTACCCTCACGTATCCTTGCAAGTGGGGATTATACCACTATATGCCATTTACACTGGAGCTAGTTACAGCTCCATAAAACGTGAGTAGGACTATATTTTATTCCTTTTAGTTGTCCCCTGAAAGAACATACTTCCCTATTATTACTTTTTTGTTGTTTCATATGGATTCGAGTGTTGATCCTGTCCTGGTACCCCCATTCAGGAATCCTGCAGACACTTC